TTCATACAAGTGAAATGGTCACAGACTAAGCGAGCAAACAGAAAGAGAGACCAACATATATATATATATATATATATATGAATGGATACATATCAAAACCCCCATTAGTTCATTTTCTTCTGCCTATTTTCCGATTGTCAGCTTAATACAGTTCAAAATGACTTAAAATCGTTAGTAGAATATTGCCCCCTTCCTCCACCAGATATGAAGCCTTTCTCACATACGTGTTGTGTTTTAATTAACCTACCTTTCCTTAATACGAGGCTTAAGAAGTCTGATAATGCGACAGACAGACAGACAGACAAACAGCTGAAAACGTGAAGATAGGCATGAAATGGACCCACCCAAAAACGTGAAGGATCTACATTTTGACGATATGATATATGTCTGATTTCCCACAAACACTGGAAGATATGCAAGTGAAAAGTAACAAGTTGACGATAGAAGAAGCATGTAGAGAAGATACAATTTCAGGTGAACATAGAGAAAACAAAGGTAGGTGGTGAAGATTCCTGGTCAACAGTAAACAGCAACAATCAGTATATAAATGGGAGAAATCTGAAAACGAAAGCAACTTCTCATACCTAACAAACTGGGTAACATCTCCATCAAATACAGATGGACGGAACTGTTGAGGATATCAAAGCAGCGAGGATCGGGAAAATAAGGTAAGCTTCCATAATTCTCAAGTCTGTGTGGAGATCAACAGAACTCAGCAAGAAAAACAAGATCGGGATTTTCAACTCCAGTGTGAAGTCAGTACTACTCGCTATACATACGGATGAGAGACTTGGCGCCACGCCGCGTCACGAAGGACACTTCGAAAAAATTACAAACCTTCATCAATCAACAGCTGTTGTCGCTCAATACTTCTCCCAAGACCAGATGGTCGGCCAGGAAAGATCAACAACAGGGATCTCTGGGAGCGAGCCAACCCATGAGGAACCAACTGTGCAACAGATGTGCAGGTAGAAATGGAGGTTGGTTGGATTGGCCATGCCTTGAAAAACCCATCAAATGACATCGCGAACCAGACCATCCCTTCATTAGAATCCGAATGAGGAACAAAGAGTGGGTCGTCTGGGGGGGGGTAAGAGAGAAAAAGATCATGCGAAAAGGAGATGAGAGATTATCTGTAATCTTGGGCCCAGCTGAAAAGAAGAACAGAAAATATAACACAATGAATATACATTGTTGAATCCAAGGGAACAATAATGATAAAACATTTGTTGATGCCCATAGTGTTTCCCTTTGTGTGTATTTAATGATAACATGCATACGTATAGTTTCTACCTAACAAAATTTATTTAACAACTAACTCTGGTCTCATACACGAAAGAGGTGTCAAGACTGTTGTAATACACCGCAGCTAGTGATTAGTTATTTATAAAAAATCTGAAACCTGTTTTTCCTTACATGCACATTTTTAAGCATAAAGAAACACATATGTCTCTTTAAAGGTGTGTTATTTCATGCAATTTGTTTTGGCTGGTGTTTTTTTTCCCGGTTTAGTTTAGAAAAACTGTTTTAAGATTGGTGAAAATCAACTTTTTTGTTCGACTTGTGTGTGTGTGTGTGTTCGAATCCTGTTTTTATTATTGGTTCAGACATCCTGAGCAGTTAGTTAAAAACTCACACTATCCATTGCTGGACTATTATTCTTATTGTTGCTCCCTTGGTCTCCATTTTGATCCTATTTTCTACAGTCCTCTTTATCTGATCTCCTCCGCATCACACGATATGCTCCATGTGACCCTCAGACCTGGGCCCCACTCATCATTTCCCATTCAGGCTCCACTTAGACTATGGCCTGGCGTGTGATGTTATCCAACTTTACTCTCTTCTCTTGCTTTTTATGGTATATGAAGTGTGGCAAGTCGAACTGCTGCACATCTTTGCAAAGTTGTACGTTGAGAGCTGCCAGTCTGAAAAAGCGGTCTCCTCAGCGTGCGTCAGATTCACCATATTTGTTGGACAGTAAGTTCTCAGTTTTTCGTTGTTAATTCTTTCTGGCCATTCGATCTTCATTGTGGAGTGAAGACACTTGTTGGTAAAAGTCTCCAACAGCCTGTTAGAAATACTTTTCGTGATGCACACGCCGAGTTATTGACGCATGCAGAAGCACTGACTGACTTAACATTGACGTTGAAAATCCAACTTTCGCTCCTTATGTAGAGTACAGAAGATTTATGAACTGATTTCTAAGTGATGATGGTTTGTCTAGCCTTTTCGATTATGATCTTGATATCCTCATGTGTTCCAAATGCATGCAGTTCAAAGGATGCTTCTGAGGTACGTGAAGTAGGTAAATTCTTTCAAAATTATTCGGTTTGTGTTGATTAGTGCTTTTTGTTGGTCAGTTATCTTCATCAACTCTGTCTTCTCCAAACTCCCTTGAAACCCTGTCTTTGCTGCTTGACTCTTCTCCCACTTATTTTTTGGTTTTCTCGTGTAAGTCTTCAAGTTTGTTTGACATTAGACATAAGTTATCCATAAAGTGCAGATCGTCGAGGCTCTTCCTCTCGGTCCAACGTATTCTTGTCTTCTTGCCCTTCCCATGCATGATGTTCCACGTAATGCAGTCTATGACAGTTAGGAATATCACCGATGATAATAGGCAGTGGATTTGTCTTACTCTTACGATGTCTTATTTTTAATTTGAAGTCAATTGGTGGATGGGGACTGGCTGCAGTGGAATCCAGGATGCGCGTTTCTTCCCACTCGGGGTTCGTCAACTGGAGTCACCTGGGTTCTCCTACTATTCACCATCCTCCAATTTACTTAAATTTGAATAATTGAATCATCTACATAAGTAGCTGACATGTCAACCTCAGGCCGCCGAGCACTACGGTTCAGTCAATCTCCGGGAAAGTCCGAATTGAATTAAATAGTTACTGATATCCGTTGCACAAAAGGTGGTCTAGTGGATAACGCCTTGGTGTTGGAAACGATGGGCACTGGGTTTGAGCCTCAGTGGGAATACCACTCAGGGGGAATGCACGTACACCCAGATGACGAGTCCCAGACACGACGAAATATCCATCCTAGTGGATTGTTGTTTAATATCTTTAAATCATTCAGGATTCTTTTTGCGATATGATTAAGTTCTGTATTTGTCTTATCATCTCTAATCTAATCTATTGCTAGTATCCTCATAATCTTCACATGGATATCCGATTCGAGTTTGAAACACATTTCAAATATAGATACCTTGGAAAGTCTTTTTTCAAGTGTCAGCGTAGTTTCACTTTGCAACCAACAAGCTGGATGGCTTGCTGTCACCGTGCACTGTGAACTGCTGATATTAGATTTATTATTATTATTGCTCCCTTGGGTTCCTAGTGGAACATAGGGCTTCAACTCCATGTCTCCATTTTCTTCTGTCCTCTGCTGTACTTTTCGCCTGCATCCATGTTAGTCTATACTGTTTCAACTCCTCTTCACACGATCTCCTCCATGTCACCCTTGGACGTCCCACACGCCGCTTCCCTTTCGGGTTCCACTCGAGGGCTTGGCGCGCGATGTCACCCAGCGGTCTCCTCAGTGAGTGTCCGATCCATCTCCACTTTCTCCTGCATATTTGTTGGGCGATTGGTTCTCGCTTTGTTTGTTCCCATAATTCCTTGTTGGTGATTCTTTCCGGCCATCTGATCTTCAGTATTGAGCGAAGACAGTTGTTAATAAAGGTCTGCAACAGGCTGTTGGAAATATTCTTTGTGACCCCTCGCCAAGTTTCTGATCCGTATAGAAGAACTGGCTTTACGTTTGTATTGAAAATCCGAATTTTGTTGTTGATGCTGGCTGAGTGACGAAGATTTCCAGATTGATTTCAGGTTGATGAATGTGTTTCTCGCTGGCCTTCCCGATTCTCGCTCGATTTGACATCCTCGTCCGTTCCTCCTGTAGTTGAGACAATGCTCCCTAGATAAATGAATGAAGTAACCTCTTTCAAATCCCTCCCGTTGATGGTGATTGACGTTGGATGTTGTTGATGCTGTTGGTTGGTTATTTTCATAACCTCCGTCTTGTCTATGTTCACCTGGAGTCCTGTCTTCGCCGGCTGCCTCTTCGACCAGTTTGTCGGTTTTCGCTTGTAAGTCTTCGATTGTGTGTGACATCAAACATAAATCATCCGCGCACGAAATCCAGGTCTTCTGGGTACTTCACGTCGGTCCAGGATATCCCTGTCTTCTCGTTTCCCACTGTCTGACGCATAATCCAGTCCACCACAATTAGGAATATCATTGGTGATAATAAGCACCCTTGTCTGACTCCTGTGTTTACTCCAAACGCCTTGCTGAGTTTTCCGTTGTGGATCACTTGGCATGTGCCGTTGTGCCGCTAATATTAGATGGTTGGATGTAATCTCCGGGAGGGAAGCGATGCCGCGAGATCTAGGTTTCCTGCTTGTTGGCTGACACAATCACCAGTCCAATAAGGCGTTATCTTAAAGGAACTTATATCCCTTGAGAGATTGGAACCCGTATCATTCTGTACTCTGCCTGTGGTCAGAGACACGTTACGACTATTTGGGCTAGTAATTGTCCTCCTTTTTGCAGGAATGTATTGGATAATTTGATTGAACACTAGGCATTAAATGGCTCGTCTTCATGAACCACTGTAAATTATTGTTATTAGATGGTGTGATAGGTAACGTTCTCTCTAAATTACTCGTGAGCCATCTATTATGGTGAGTATTATTCGGATTATAGAGAAGGACAAAGAAAAGAAACAGGTACTTGTTGCATTCATCTGTCATATTTCCCACATAGACATAGTGTTCGAGCCCCTTTCTTTGTAGCTTTAATTGAATTCCTCTGTGTTCAAAATGCATTCACCCATTGAAGTGATTATTTATAAGATATCGGGTGTAATACTGTCGTCTTTTTTATGTAATGATACCCCCCTACACACACACACACACACACCTAAATATAACACTAAGATAACATTATTTTTTCACTTCTACTTCCATTTATGTGTGTACACACATTTTATAGACCAAATCCAATTTCTGGTAGACATGACAGATCAAAATCACGTAGTCCTGAAAAAGCTGTCACGAAGGCTAGAGATCGTGCAGTTGCAGCTCTTGAAGGTGAGTTGACGCTTTTTTCTATTGTTGTTGTTGTTGTTGCTTTTTTCTCTTTTCTATCTAGATTTTTTTCGGATGTTATCCAGGCTGGAGAAGTGATTCTCCGTCCCTCACACAGTTACTCACAAGATAGTTACTACGGGTCAACCAGTTCGTGCTCGTCCTCGTAATAGTAGTAATAGTAGTTGGTACACCGTAGTTTGACACCCAACGGTCGAGAAAAACCAAAGCAACGTTTTCAGCAGATATGTCGTTTAAGGGGCATGCAATAGCCCAACGAGTAAATCTATCAATCGCTGTCAGGATATGTGTATATCCTCTTGATGTTGGCAATGGTCCCACAATATCTATATGGATATGCTGAAATCTCCTTTCGGGTTATTCAAACGTCTTCGGAGTTGTAATAGTGTGGCGGTGTACTTTGCAGCATTGGCATTGGAGACATTCTCATGCCCATCTCCGAATGTCAGAGTTCATTTTAGGCCACACGAAGCGTTCGCTGATCAGTCTGAGCCGGTTCCTGAAACAGATGTGGTTGCAACGTTTACTTAGAAATGTCCAGCAAATTTTAATCATCTCAGGAAAGTCGTATGACTTAGACCAACTAAGTAACATGGCAGATAGTATTATGGATGTTTTATCTGATAACATCATAAGTCACATAGCATCTGATAGTGCCACACCGTGTCATTCCACACCCACGGCCGACACACGATACTCGCCGCCATTGCAGACTTAGCGGCAAGGATTGACAAGTTGGAAACTAATAGGTCTGATCGACGAGTTCGGAGGCTGAGTTCACAAAGAAGGTCACCATCATGACGACCATCCTTCTCATGACAGCGTTCTCACACGTCTTCTCGGGATTGTAATATATGCTGGTATCACTGGAAGTTTGGACGTCATGTCACGTCATATATATATATATATATATATTATTGACGACACCAACAATAAAGAATCTAAATCATCAGTAGTAATTCCATACAATGAAGAAACCAGCTTACGCAGAATTCTTAACAAGGCAGGCAGGAATAAAAGTGGCTGGCATTCAAACCCCACCCCCCTCAAACTCAATTAGAAACAAGCTTTGTCGGTTAAAGGATCAATCCTGTAGAGCCTTTAAAACAAAATAATTTGGTTTATCTATTACCCTGCCTGCTGGAATGATTGTCAGGTCAAATAGCACATAGGTCAAACTAGTAGAACAGGGTCAGTGAGTCAGACTAGCTGAACATAAAAACCTAGCTGCAAAATCTAGATTAGTTGACCCGAATAAGATGATAGCTATAGCACTACATGCAATTACACACAACCACACAAGAGGATGACAGTTTTAAAATCGAATGTAACAGGTTGGCGAGTGGGGAAGATTGATAACAGAAGCTTTGTTTATCGAATTAACTGCAGATACATGTAATAGGAATGATTCAACACCTGTCCACCCAGATATCTGGAAAATTCTACCATCCCTACGACGATAAATAGGATAAGACAAATAAAACTCAAGTTTCTAAGTCGTGTGATTATAATTGATGTAATTATGAACAATTATATGTTTGAAAGGTGTCTTCATCCAGTAAATAATACTGTTTCACTCACTGTGTGATATATCTAATAAACAAATTAATATGGAATTACTATTTTATTTTATTATTTTCGTTTTTTTCTTTATTAATTCTACAGTTGCATCGAAGATTGGCAGTCCACCAAAATCATCTGTGCTAACTAGTCAACATATACGCTTTCTAGCGCATGCTGAAGCTGCTGCTATAGCCGACTCAAAGAGTGAAACATACAGACCAGATACTTCAGACAATAGGTCTGCCTCAGGTGAACAACAGGCGACAACGGGAGACCAACAACAACAGCAGCAGCAACAGCAACAAGCATCTGTTAGCCCTGATGAATGGTTCATCTTTGCACAGTCTTCCATACTATCATGTCTTCTTGAACGTGTAAGTGAACAGGGCAAAAGTGGACTCAGTGTACTGATTGATTGATTGATTGATTGACTGATTGGTGTGTGAGTATTTGTTTACCACACTATTAACTCAACAACCAGTTGTGCTTGCTAACCTGTGTTCTAGTCACCGAATGACCGTTTTGCTTGTTTGGGGCCGAGCGGTGTACCGGTGTACCAGATTTCCGACTGTCTAGCTAGCTAGCTACTTAAGCGAACTGATAACACCATAAATCAAATTCACACTTTCTAAGTCACACTGTTTTTGAGGAGGAGGAGGTGAAATCTCACATCACAGTTTCTTTCTTACCAAAATATGTGAGTGATCTGTTTAGTGTTGTAAAAAACAGAAGACAAGGGTCAAGCAACAGGTCGTTTATTCAGGAAATCAACACACATATTTATAGATTTTCATGCACATTATCATAGATCATTGTTAGCAGACAAATACAACCTTCTGATTGATTGTTTCTCACTGAAAGTTAATCTTTCGTCTCTTTGTGGCTATTTCTTGAAGGTCAGATCATTTGTCTGCTAATTATATCCGCCTACGCAAAGTGTGCTGTGAGTGGTTGTTGAATCAGTCTTTGTTCATATTTTTTCTCACGATCAATATTCAGGACGCAAACATCGACGTAAATTACTGTCTACCAATTGGGCTAGCAGAGGCAGCTGTCACCACAGTATCGCCATGAATGGTAGTCAAGGTAGCCCCAAGCACAGATGATGTATGGAGTGGTAGTTGCATATTTGTTGTATTTTCTGCTTTAGCCGTATATACAATGTCCTTTTCATGAATAGCATGTAAGTGACAAAAGTGATAAGTTGTTACAAATATAGTTGTGTGAAGGATTTCATCATGAGTTGACATTAGTTAGAGAACCATTCGAAAACCTGCCAAGGAGTACTAGACAGCCAGCTGTTTCGTCAGCCTAGTTTGCGATTCTTCATCAGCACGCACCGACCACAGGGGGTTCGAATCCATCAATTTCTAGTTACAAGACGAGCTAGCTCATAGACCATTATTCATCAGCCACTGGGGGGGGGGCTCATCCAATGGCCAACACATGAATTATAACTTCCGCCAATTCATAACATAGTGTGCGACCACCTCACAATGTCTTCTTCGATGAGTTACTGTCTCATCTTCAACCTGTTGTACCCTACTTGTTACGGCTACCCACTAAGAACCCCAGGGTTAACTGCCTATCTATCTGAATAGGGCCAGTCGCGCTGGTGAGCAGCACCAGATCAATTTTCAAGTATTGGCTGTTTTGTAGGGATTTTGTTCGATTGATTGGAGGTTTTCATTGTGAGTTGACACATCAGTTAGAGAACTAGGAAGAAACATCTATCCAGTACTCACTAGAGCAGATTTTCCAATAGCTCTCTAACTGGTGTCAGCAGCTGTCTGTCTGTCTGTCTGTTTTCGACATAGAACTTTGCACAAATGTGCGGAAGTTCAAGTCGCCACATTCCGTGTAGCACGCGAAGCAAGAGAAGAAAGTACAAGAAAAGCATAATAGAAACAGTGAGCAGAGGTGTGAGACAAAGGAGGAGTAATAACGAAGAACAAAACAGTTTCATTGGAGATCATAAGTCACAAGGAGTGGATGCATCTGCGCCACTGAGAACGGTTTTGAGCCATGTCACCAATTGTTTTCAACCATTGATTTTTACCGTTCCGAGGACCCCAACCAGTTAGGAAGTCTACACCTTCCTACGTGGCTTAGACCAACTGTTGTGGATTTCATTGACTGGTGCCAAGTTTTTGTTTGACCGCCACTGTCTAGCTCTTTTCCAGCCTGATCCTATATCCGCTAACATTGCCCATTGTCGAGGGAGGCGATGACTTGGCATACGTAACACATGTCCTAACCATCTCAGTCTTTGTAACTTCACGACTTCGTCGATTGATTTCCCCTGTTTACCTAGAACTCGACCAAAGCCTAACCTCAATGTTGCTCACCTTATCATGCCACTTTACACGGGAAATAGAGCGCAGGCATCTATGATCAAAGACGGCTAATCTTTTCATGTCTTCCACTCTCAGTGGCCAGGTCTCACAGCTAGCCATAATGGAGGAGGGAGCGGACTGATGAGCAGTACACCCGCCCTTTGGCCGATAGTCGAATATCTCGTCTACGCCAGAGTCGGCGTAAACTGGCAAATGCGAAACGAGTCCCCTGTATTCGTGGTGAGATTTCGTCATAGATCAACCCGTTGGCGTTGGCTGATGGTAATTCCCAAATAAGTGAAGCAGTCAACGTGCTCTACCACTTCACTTCCTATTTTTAAACTAGGCGTCGATGTAGTCCAGTCCTGTAACATCATCTTGCATTTGGCGGGAGCGAATCGCATGCCAAACATTCGTATGTCAGCAGCTCATGATGAAATCCGCCAACAAATCAAACTAAACCCCTATAAAAAAACAACTAATAATTGACAAATATAGTTGTTCATATTAGCTGTCAAGTGCATCAAAAGTGCAGAATAAGTGTACTAGAGTTACGTAATAAGTTGAATAATTTCATAAATGAGTTGTGATCAAGATGCGCATATAGAAACGAAGGAAAATATGGAATCGCCTAAGAGTTCTAAAGAGATACAACATTTATGAAGACTTAGAAATATAAACAAATTAAAAGTCAAGTCACAAAAGAAACAACAAGTTTAGTACCATGATATTAGGAGTGGTTGAATAGTCTTCTTTTGTATGCATAACTCCAATTTCTCTAACTGTGAATGACTAAAGCTTCAAAATTGCTTTTTTTAGACGAAAGCGTGTTGCTTTTGGCAGGTCGTTATTTTTATTTTTGATTTACAGCTTGATTCCACACTGTATTTTTGGTAGAAGTATGGAATTTTCAGCATGGATATCAGTAGCCCAAATTTTGCAGGCCGACCATAGATATCAGGTGTGCGCCGGCGTGGGCTCGAACCCCGGACCATATGCATGGTCGGCGAGAGTCCTAACCACTGTGCCACCGACGCACACAACTTCTTCTTTACTTTGTAGATAGATGACTACTTTGAAGGAGGAAGTATTTGTTGTGAGATGGAATGACCAATGTTGACAAGGTGTTCGACCATGGAACTCTTTATAGAGCCATTACTACCTTTCTGTAACCACATGCGACAGAGTTTTCCATCCCTTTAGGACGCATCGAATAACCGATATACCTGGCTCCACAAGAACAGGTAACCTGATAATTGCAAATAGGAGTGGTCAGAAGGCGAGATCTTGTACCTAGGGCTTCTGTAGACCAGTGGATAACAATACTTCTAGCGTTGCTGCGGAGAATGTTCTTCTCAAAGACGATGAAATTCTTCTCCTAAAGATATCGCAGTCTGAGTCTCTTTTTTGGGACAAGTAATTTTTCGTTCCTGTGGACTTTTGGTTTCATATTCTCAATAAGTCATGGTGGGAATCCGTTTGGGATGAAAATTTCTTTGGGAAAATGAAGTTCTCCGTCTAGGGTGTCAGATGCGTGTGACAAGAGATTTTATTAAATTCCCTCTTCGTTCAATAGCCAATCCACCTGTAGAAACTCGTTAGTTAACCATTCTTCAAGTCGGTTTCCAATGGACTGATCGCCTTCTTAAGGTTCTGTTGGGTCGTCTTGTTACATCCACATCAAAAAGGGAAATTTTGGATTCATTTTCTATCCTGAGAGGGAGCTTTATTGCCGGATGACAGTTACTGAATACTTGTAGCAATTGATTAAAATCATGACTTTTGTTACAGTTGTCAATTATCTACTTTAATGAACCCAGTGTTCATCTAAAACAGAAGAGAATCAACTCCCTGAAAAAAAGAGCCTCTTCTCTGAACTACGTGTTATGTTTTCGTTAAACTCCGCATATCATGATGAGATCCACTCTAAAATTATTTCTGTTGGTGGTGACTTGCAGTAGTATACAGAACCACATATTTCATCTTGTTTTCGAGACTCATCAGGTGGCTGAATGTTCATTCATTCCTAGTGAGTGAGTGAGTGAGTGAGTGAGTGAGTGAGTGAGTGAGTGAGTGAGTGAGTGAGTGAGTGAGTGAGTGAGTGAGTGAGTGAGTGAGTGAGTGAGTGAGTGAGTGAGTGAGTGAGTGAGTGAGTGAGTGAGTGAGTGAGTGAGTGAGTGAGTGAGTGAGTGAGTGAGTGAGTGAGTGAGTGAGTGAGTGAGTGAGTGAGTGAGTGAGTGAGTGAGTGAGTGAGTGAGTGAGTGAGTGAGTGAGTGAGTGAGTGAGTGAGTGAGTGAGTGAGTGAGTGAGTGAGTGAGTGAGTGAGTGAGTGAGTGAGTGAGTGAGTGAGTGAGTGAGTGAGTGAGTGAGTGAGTGAGTGAGTGAGTGAGTGAGTGAGTGAGTGAGTGAGTGAGTGAGTGAGTGAGTGAGTGAGTGAGTGAGTGAGTGAGTGAGTGAGTGAGTGAGTTTAGCGTTTTGAAAAGATGGGTGCGCTTAGTGTGAGTCTCAATGTAGGGAATACCAACACCGTTTCCCAGTGGAGATTCCAGGTGGATCCACGAGTCCCAAACAGAAAAAAATGCTGTGCCAGTCAGTCACTACCCTACTCCCAACCAAACTAACTTCATATTAATTCGCTGAACTACGTGTTTTGTTTTCATTAGCACAAATGTTCCTCTTATGTTCATTTTCTCCTTCTTTTTTTCTGTGGTTTTAGCCTCCTAAACAAACCGATTTACCTGCTGACGTTGATCCAAATCATGTGATGTATGATTCTGACGTAAGTGAACCATCAGTAAATACTACCAGTGGAGGTGGGGAATACTATACATACCAGGAGGCGTTAACTAAACATCAACATTGTATAAATCGTGTTCGCCGATTTATTAAACAATCTCAACGGATAAAACAACGTAAATCCTTGCAACATCGTGTTAAACATTCACTACATTATAGACTAACTGGAAAATTTACAAATAGAAGTCATGATGATGAGGATGCCGATGGCGCTGAAGAGGACGAGGAGAAGGATGGGGAATGCCATGATCTCACAGACAAAGATGACAGTGATCTCGATGAGGATGCTGGAGTTGTTGGAAAGGATAAAGGCGTTATACCAATCGATAAATTATACCTACCTCCAATATCATCTTTATCGTCAGCTCCAGAAGCGAAAACCACACAGTCGTCTGTTTCACACGATAGTAATTTAAATCAATTATTACAAAAACTATCGTCTGATTTACAACCTCAATGGATACTGAGACGACTTCATTTAAATCCAGATTTTACGGATACATGGTGGGGTAGTGAATTAGAATGTGAATTCTATGCCGCACTGAATGAATTGACTACTGAATCGACAGAAAAAGGACAAACAAGAGCGACAACGGCAACAACAGCAACAAGCTTGAAAGATTTCTATGATTACATGTCAAGAAGTGGTGATACCGGGGGTGATAACAATCCTCCTCCTTCTGGTAATGATGATTTTAATGAGGAAGACGGTGGAGGTGCTGGCGGTGCCGATGATGACGAGGATGATGATGAGGAGGATGATAATTTGATTGTCGACCCACTTGGTTATCGTAAATTAACTATATTTGAAAGAGAACGTCAATGGGCGCATAGTGATAGTTATGCTTGGAGATTAATTCGTCTAGGTTTAATGCAATTGGCTAAACGTGAATTGAATAGACTTATACAAATAGTTGATTTTAATAGTGAAGGTAAGATTGATTAGTATTCATTATTATTTATTATTTTACTCCTTTACATTCTCAGTAGAGCATAGGGGGTTCAAGCCCCGGAGCTTTGAAGTTTCGGTAGTAGTGCTGGTTATTTTTTTACAGGATGGGGTTGCTGCTAGCCTCATGCTCAACCTTACCTCTTTACCGGTCTTATTACTGGCTTAGTGAGGTAAAGCAGTGCGTCTGTGGCCGTGGATCTAACCGTGAAATACATGCGTGGTCCACTGGTATGCAGAGCTGCCGCCTGGTGGTGGTGGTGGTGGGGGCTTGGACCCCTGACCCTCAGATTATAAATCCCATTCTCTACCGACTGAGCTAACCCGGTCTAGGTTGGTTAGTATTCATTTTATTTCCGTTTATTACCATTATCAGCATGATGATTATCTTTGGGCTCTTTTTATTTAGTTGTGTTCTCTGGGCTGATTGGTTGATTTAATTGTGAAGCTTTCCTTGCCCTCCATGCCCCATCTAGACAACACTGCTTTGGCGCGGAATTTTAGTGTGAAATGAACTTATTTGAATTCTCTATGATTGATGATATAATTGTATCTTCTGACAACAACCATTGTCGTGATTGACAAGCAATCATGGCATTGATCGTTTTTATTCACTTGAAATTTGAACTTATCTGTCATGTGGAGATTATTTTGTATATTAGTTGATCATAGGGAATAATAAAAAAAAACAGTTGCAGCGAAGAAAATTTTCTTTTCGACGAAATCATCAACTAGGCTGTACATCCGGCCAATGACTGAATGGTCGTCAAGCTTGCCGCCTCGTAACCTGAACGTTCTAGATTCGATTCCCATTGATGGGTTTATAAGTACCGTTATATTCCGCGCAATACATAAAGATTGAATACAAACACGCTGGTCATGAACTTTTCCTTGACCACACCAATAACAACATTATACAACAGCTACCTGTTCCACACCAGCCCGCTGTACATAACGACGTGAACCGAAAAGTATATTTTACATAGTAATAATGTATGATTCAAAATACCACTAATCAAATGTCTCAGTTAGTCTATACTCATGATCAATAAAATAGTGGGCGTTATTCTACGAAGATCAATTCTGATTGGTTTATTTGCAGACTGAATATTGATCACTTATATAGGCCGAATTCTGATTGGTTTCTTTCCAGAATAGACATTGACCACTATATTAAATACATATTGCTGAGGAGTGCCAATGTAGGACGAAGTAGCTGTGTACAGTATTCATTCCTGGTTTTCAATGATTCTTTAATTAGATATCAATCCTAAGATACACCTTGAAATATTTCTTTATTTTAAATGACGAACTGCATATTATTATTATTATAATATTCGCAGGTCTTTTTCATTTGATTTCATTTTATATTTTCATTAGATTTAGCTGTCTATGCACCAGGCTTGATGACATTAACTCGTCAAGTCGACTGTTGGATAACTGGTTATCGACTAGAGTTGACATCACCGCCAGCAATTAATCCAGTACAGTTGAAATTAGGACTTAAAGGCTTTATTGATGAACATCTTATTCCATCAGCAGAATTTCTACCAAATATTGATGAAGATATCACGGCGTCTGGTTTACAGTCTAGCATTGCTACTACTACTACTACTACTACTATCAGTGGTATCAGTAATATAAGTAGTGCAAAGAACACTAATGAAATACCCAATGAATTATCACATTCACAAGCTGCAGCACGATCTATGTTACGTATGAAAAAATTATTGAATACTAAGAAAACACCTTTTCAGTAAGTTTCTTTTTAAAAAATTTTTCCACTGTTTTTTTTTATTTTAATATAACGGGGATAGAAGTTAGAATTGATGGGCTGGACATTAAATTGGGTGGGGTCCCAGTGGCTGAATGGTATACGAGCCAGCTTGTCTTGTAATGGGAAGGTTCAACGTTCGAATCTTTGAGGGGTGGGGGTACGTATTGCCGATGATCCAGTACTCCAGTGCTGGCTGGTTTCCAATGGTTCTCTAACTGATATTAATCCGTGAGTGGTCAAACTGCCAAGAACAAATCTAATCCTTACAAACCAACTGTTGAAAATACCGAAAAGTGTTATTGATCTCATGGAAAATTCCCATTTATAGCATATAGAAAATCAAAACAAGTAGGGATTCAGCGAAGAGACTCTTTCCAATAACGAATTTATTATCAAGCTGTACAATCGTATATATATACGGGCTTTTTCTAAGAAGTCATATCCTGTGAGGGAATTGAATCATAGGTGTGAATGCATAAAATAAGAATAAGAATAATAAAAGACAGATTCAGCGAAGAAAATTTTCTTTATCGACGAAATCATCTCCCTTCAGGGGCTGTACAGTCGTATTTATCCTTACAAAAACATATAGTGGTCTATTATTGAGTAATAGCGGCGAGTGACATAATTGATATAATTACTCAGAAGTGGCTTTAGAAGTGAAAATTAACAGTTGTAAATTACATGGTACTCAACAGCACAAAGATAGAAGTTTGATAAGGTTAAAATTGCTCTTGAGTGAGGGAGAATAAAGGTGGTATTTGAGTGTCAATTTAACAAGTGTGAAGAGGGTGTGAAAATATACAAAAGGAGCATATGAAACTGATAATAGTGAATTAATTATTAAGGCAAAAGCAAACTAAAAGTAAAATTGAAAATTAAAAGAAAAAACCAAATTTTTTCTACAGGGAATGATTAGTGAAGAGGTTAAGACCAAGGTAGAATAAGAGACTGGACAAACGTTTTCTGTATACAGAGTTCAGGGTTGTATTGACAAATTGCCAGCGCCTCCGCCATACACAAAAGCCGAAACCTGACGCCCTTTGTACCATTTGGCTTCACTACTTTGTAGATGATGTTGAAAGACGACTCTGGTGGAGCTACGTGGCCTGAGTTGTTCACCGAATGCTTGAAAATTGAGCTAGTAATTGTCTTGCCTTGTCCCTTTGCTAACCATGCCGGATGATGTTCAGAGATACGTTTGGAAAGCGTGCGCTTTGTTCGGACGGCCAAAATAACTAGCTCCACACGAGCAGGTGAATTTATTAACACACACTGATGTGGCCAGTCGAAAGCTGCAGTTTATCCTTCACACATCCGTTGATCATTTGTCGGCTGTAGAAATTGATGCGTAGCTCAGCCATAAAGAAGGCTTTCCTCAGTGATCTGCATAAGCAGCGATTCTTCAGGATCTCAGCTGTGGTATCACCTTTAAATTCAACACTCATAATTAGAAGTTTCTTCGGCACCGTCTGGATTCTTTCAGGCTTTTTCCTTAACTTCATGTTTTTCTCGATAAATATTAGAGGATATCCATTCTCTATGAGGACTTGTCTGAGTCGCCCCAGTTCCCCATCGATTGTATCACTTGAACATATCCTCCTTATTCTTGAAGATAAGGAATGGATCAGATTTCTCTTTCTTCTCAATGGGACCCAGCTATGGGAATTTGTGTACTGACCATTCCATGTTGGTTTCCTGTAGACTGATATTTGAAGAGAACCATCAGATCTCCTTTTTTAGAAAAACATCAAAAAAATGGAATTCCGAGTTAATTTCCGATTCCGGCGTGAACTTGATGACATGATGGCAGCTGTTGATAATGATCATAGTATGGAGTGCAATTAAAATATTTGTAATTATAATCATAGTTAAATATCAAGTGGCAAAAAAAATTAACGTCGTATATAGAATATTTAAAACAATTAGTTCGTTTCATGAATTTAGACAAAGCAATAAGAAGACGTAATTTGTCTGAATCGTGTATTTTTGTATTTGCCCAACACATTTCGAACAATCTGATCACACATGAACTTGTCATAGGAATGTATATATATATATATATATATATATATATATATTCAAGTACTGGTTTTGTAGGGATTTTGTTTGATTGCATGGAGGATTTAATCATGAGCTGACATCAGTTAGAGAACCACTGGAAAACCTCCGGGGAGTACTGAACAGCTGTTTCGTCCTAGTTTCGGACTCTTCAGCAGTACGCACCCACCGCCAGACTTCGAATCCAGGACCTTTTGGTTACAAGACGAGCTAGCTCGTAGACCATTGAGCCACTGGGACCCGATCCAAAGAGTCCCAAAGAGTCTAGTGGGAAGCCGTGACCAGTAGGGTACAGCAGGTTGAAGATGAGGCAGTAACTCATCGAAGAAGACATTGCGAAGTGGTCGCGCTATGTCGTGAATTGGCAGAAGTTAGAATTCAAGGACCATTGGATCGGGTCCCAGTGGCTCAATGGTCTACGAGCTAGCTCGCCCTGTAACCAGAAGGTCCTGGGTTCGAAGCCTGGCGGTGGGTGCGTACTGCTGAAGAGTCCGAAACTAGGACGAAACAGCTGTCCAGTACTCCCGGGGGGTTTTCCAGTGGTTCTGTAACTGAAGTCAGCTCATGATTAAATCCTCCATGCAATATATATATTTATATATATAAGACTAATAAAGAGTTAAGAGGTGAGAAAATAGAGTACTTAGGTCAGGTGAAAAGGACACACTGAAGGTCAAAATAACAATGAAGATCACTAAACCAAATAACAGAGGTAATAGTACATCTGCTATAATATCAAAACAAAATTTTGCCAAGGAAAATTTAGTGTGATAACGAAGGTGGTGTAAACTTCCTAATTGCCAACTAGGGCTTTCACAAACTTTAAGATACGCCCCAAACACGTTTTACAGATAAGTTTAAAAGATGTGTAGACGTCAATTTTATGTCCTGTCTCTATAAAATGTTTCGCCATAGAAGAGCTGGGTCGTCGTCTGGGGATTCTATTTGTCTTCTGAAAACATTTAGGAATGTTCTCTGAAACCAGCCTGTACTTGCAGAGATCGATGAGTAAGTACTCCTCATGTATATGTGTCCACACGTACATTCGAATTGGAAAATACAGTAGGATGTGACATCATTTTTCGCATGTTCGAAGGGCTTAGATGGATGGATATATTGGCTTCACATTCTCAATTATTATGATATTAGCTGCATAAAAAGTCTTTTTAACCACAGCAACACGGATCTCTTGCAATGAACGAACCAACCCATCAGCAACGAATCGCGCAACAAATCTGCAGGAAGAAATGGTGATGGATTGTATTGACTATACTCTGAGAAAGCCATCAAATGACATCACACACCAGGCTATTGCTCTAGTGGAACCCGCCGAATGGGAAGTGGCGAGTTGGTCGTCAGTGCGGGGATGGGGTGACATGGAGAAGGAGGTGATGCGAAGAGGAGGTGGAAGCATGTGGGCAGATGTGAAGCCAGGTGAAAACATTGGCGGAAATCCGAAGGTAGTGGAGACGTTCGGCTGAAGCTTTATGTTCCTTTAGGAACTAATAATAATAATAATTCCCCTCCCCACCACAAACAATGCCGTTAAGCGACTATACAGTCAAGAGAATGTTTTAAGTACAAAACAAGTGCTGTAGAACAAGATTCGTTAACCAGAATTCGATTATAAGAAGTACCCTAGGATCAAGTAGAATATACCTAACAAGGTGGTATCAAAACTCTATCAGCAACAATCACTCACCAAACAATTCCCGAAGACAATACAAGGTTAGAGTCACTTTCATTGACCCATACAAAACAAAAAAAAACATTATAAGTATCGCTTCCTCAAGTGCAAGCGAATTAGTAAATGCACTTTCAGTTGATATTGCAACGGTAGAAGATAGGAGACATGATAACGGAAGTTAATTAGGGAAAATCACACATCGTATTGTAATGACAGAAGACAAGGGTCAGGCAACAGATAGTTTATTTTGAGAAAATCAACATATGTATGTTTTTATATACATTATTATTCGTTATTGTTAGCAGAGAAGCAAAGTCTTCTGATTGGTTGTTTTCCTGCTGAAGGTTATTCTGTCATCTCTTTGTTACCGTTTCTTAGACAGTCGGTTGATATGTCTGCGAATCGTATCCGCCCACGCAAAGTCTTCTGTGATTGGTTGTTGAGTTAGTCTTTGTTCTTGTTTTCTTCTCATGACCATGATTTGGGACGTAAATTACTGTCTATTAGTTTTGGCTAGCAGATAGCTGTCACTACAGTATGAATACATTCTTAGCCACATTAAAGTTTTGCTAAGTCACAGGAGAATAAATTTTTCTGATTGGCTGATGTTCGACCCAAGGTTAAACAAATTGTCCAATGAGATTACTGCCTGACCACAACGTAAACTAAATCAAAATATGTGAAATAACCACTTCTAGCATTTCAGTTAGCTATTGATTTATATATTGATTTCATTTTTTGGCTTCTTCCTCTATCTCAATCTACATCACATAACAGTTAATATTACAGTTGTATTGATTTATTTCATGATTAAATTATCCTTTTTATGCCCATATCTGTTTGTATATATATATTTTTTTAACTTTTAATCTAGAACACACGATCCCTTCTCTTTACCTGTAAAATGTCTGTGGTGTTATCTGGTAAGACAACCAGAAGTAGACGACATGTTCCTACGACATATATTCCGTAAACCATGTGTTGTCCAATCAACAATTACATCACAGATTAAATTCTCCTTACCAACTGGATCGTCTAACATCTTATCTGGAATGGCTAAATCAACATCATCATTGAATTTAAAGGGTATTACATCTTCTAATTCTAATATTGGCATGACTGGCTCTAATACTCCTACTCCTAGCCATACTACCGCCACCAGCACCACCCTTTCTGGAGGTGTTTTACTGGTAAGAAATTATAATGATTTTACTTCTTTTTCTCCTTTTATGTGATTTGAAGTTCCAGTAGCGATTTGGAGCGGGAGGGGGGATTTATTGTTGCAGACTTGAGGAACGAACGAAGAAATTTAGAGGACGGTGAACCAGTTAAAGCAAGAACTTATTGTCTAAGAATTATTCAAAAGGAATACAGATGTTCAAGTGTAGGTTTGTAGGGATTTTGATTGACTGGTTACAGGATTTCATCATGAGCTGATATTGATTAGAGAACCATTGGAAAACCCGCCGCAGTTCGAATCCAGAACCTTCTGGTTACAAAGCCAGCGAGCTCGTAAACCATTAAGCCACTGCGATTTGATCCAATGGCTCGTGAATTCTAACTTCTACCGAAGACATTGGCTAGCGGTTGAGCTATGTCGTGAATTGGCGGAAGTTAGAATTCATGAGGTTGCTATTGGATCGGGTTAACGGTCTACGAGCTCGCCTTGTGATCAGAAGGTCCTGGGTTCGAACCGTGGTGGGTGTGTACTGATGAAGAGTCCAAAACTATGATGAAACAGCTGTCCAGTACTCCAATGTCAGCTGATGATGAAATCTTGTAAGGAATGCAGATGGTTTAACCATGCATGGATTAATATCATTTGTAGAAAGCGGATCATTGGAAAACCAACTAGGGAGTACTGAATGTGCAGCTGTTTCGTCCCACCGATTTGGTACTCATCGGCTACAGGATGAAATTGCCAATTAGTGTAAGGTCCATCCTGTCGGGAGTGAGGAACATTACGCTAGCCACGGATGACATTGGTGGCTGTTGCCAGTCTCGGTAGTAAAATAATAAATCACGAATTTTTAGAAGTTAGAATTGATGAGTTGGCCATCGAGGAGTTGGGTCTTAATGTAGCTGAATTGATGAATGGTCTATGAGCTTTTCTTGTAACCTAGAGGTCTTTGGTTTGAAACCCAATGAGTCTGTGCTTGATAAACAATGTGTTAAGTTTTGATTCTATGTCCTACGTTAAGTACTGTAATGTAATGGATGGATACCCGCCAAGGTTCATCAGTAATAATATCAAACTAAACATCCAGCAGAATGAAACATTGACTGACTGACTGACTGACTGGTTTCAACATAGAACTTTCCACCGATGTGCAGCAGTTCAAGTCGCTACACTCCACTCCATTTAGCACACAAAGCAAGAGAAGAAAGTAAAAGGAAATGCGAAATATAGACAGAAAACGGAGATATGAGGCAAAAGCAATAGTAATATCGAAGGACCACATAGTTTTATTGGATTTTATAGGTCACAAGGAATGGACGCATCTGCGCCAGACATTGACAACAAGGATTTTGAGCCATATCACTAATTGTCTCCAGCCATCATTGGTTTTTACCGTCCCAATAACCCCAGTAAGTCTATATTACTTGTTCCAAAAATAAAACTGTACATGAACCTGGATTTAAAAGGAGACTTATTCTGCGATATCCTTAATAGAAGAATTTCATCGTCTTTGAGGCGAATATTCTCCGCAGTAACGCTAAAAGTATTGTTCTCAAGTCAGTCATCCATTGGTCTGCACAAGCCTTGAGTACAAGATCTCGCCTTCTGACCACTTCTATGTGCATATAACACCTTACCTGTTCTTGTGGAGCCAGGTATATTTGTCCTTCAACGCGTCCTAAAGGGCTGAAAAAAAACTGTCGCACATGGTTACAGAAAGGTAGTAATGGTTCTATAAGGAGATCCATGGTCGGATACCTTGTCAACATTGGTAATTCCACCTCACAACAAATGCCTCCTTCTTCAGATTAATCTATCTACCAAGTGACGAATAACAATCTGCCAAAGGCGATAATATACTTTCATCTCCTTTGCATTTTTGAAGCCTTAGCCATTGAATTAGAAAAACAGAAGGTCTGCATACAAAATAGTGTTATTCGACCACTTCTACTATCATGGTACCAACCTTGTTGATTTCTACTGCCTCGATTTCTTTTTTTTTTCTAACTTTTCGTGACCAGTGGGGTACAGTAGGTTGGGTGTGAAAGCAAATACACTCGCCTTAGATGATGACATTCGCTTGTGGTCGCGCCATATCATGAATTGACAAAAGCTAGAATTCATGGATTGGTCATTGGATCGGGTCGCAGTAGATGAATGATGAATGGTCTGGGAGCTCTCCTTGTAACCGGAAGGTCCTGGATTCGAACCTCAGTGAATGTGTACTACTGACGAAACAGTTGTCCAATACTCCCTGGTAGCTTTCCAATGGTTCTCTAACTTATGTCAGTTCATGATGAAATCCTGAAACTCCTTATTTGTTTCTATGTGTACATCCCGATTACAGCTCACTCACTGAGTTATTCATATAATACGCTTATTCGACTTCTTTTACACATTCCCTGCTGGTGAATTACAATGTATCTTCAAAACCACATTCCTATTTTGCATTCGGGATTAAAAGAGAAACTGACTAATTTCGCCTCTTCCATGTGCATCTACCAATTTAACTGCTCCTGTGGAGTGAGCCAATTAGCTGCATAGGCCGCCGTACAGTTAGGCGTGTTCCTCGTCGAATTTCCGAACATCACCCTGCCTAGTGGTTAAGTAAAGGACAAACGAAGTCTATTCTGAGCGCTATTCTATCTCATCTTGTGGATACAGAACACAAGATTGATGTTAACCAGGAAGCTTTCAGAGTCATTTACCCCATACCAACAAATCTCAATTTTGTCTTAAGAGTTCGTCTACTACATATTGCTGAGTCTGGCCGTTGGGAACCATATTAACAAGTCTAATTTATGCCTCTAAAAGAAGTCAGTTCAGACATTATCCTTACCTTGGCCATTTACGTTTGAATGATCCTCAATTTTCGTAGAAATTTACCTAATTTTAGTTGATATTCTACTTGCTATTATATCTTTATTATTATTATAATTTAAGCATCTTTAATGAACCGTAATTCCATCTTGATCGTACTTGACAAATCGATATTATTTTAAAAAACAGCACTGATATTGTTATTGCCGAGACTATTCTAGAATATTCTGTGTATATAAACTTGCATGTATACTTGTAGAGCCAGAAGAGGAGGAATTTATCGAAAAGGATATTTTTTTTCATTACTCAATGATTTTGTGTTTTATAGATGTCTGAATGAATATTTTCACTATAATTGAACTCTGATTATGACAACTCATCACTTTTGTGACTACCCTCTTTCCTGAAAAATAGTTGTATATAAATGCTATTGTACAGCTGAAGAGGGTGGGGTGGTGTAACAACAGAAGACAATGCCAGCCAGGCAACAGATCGTTTATTAAGGAAATCAACACGTATTTATATATTTTCATGTACATTATTATCATAGCTTATTCAAACAAACAAACAAACACACTCTTCTGATTGGTTGTTTCTCCCAGAAAGTTGACCTTGCATCTCTTTGTGGTTGTTTCTTGAATGTCAGATCATCTATAAAATTATATTTGTAAAATCTCAGCGAAGTTGAAATGATTAATTCCAACATTTCGTTCGGCAGTGTGGTCCGAACTTCTTCAGGGAAATTAATCGAAATTAATATAACAAAGGTTTATATATAAAAGGAACATCTCTTGTAATTCCATATTAGTTTGTTTATTAAATGTATCACACAGTGAAACAGTATTGTATACTGGATGACGTTTCGAACACAATTTATTGTTCATAATCATATCAGCAATTATAATCACACGCTTTGAAACTTGACTTTTATAGTTTTCTGTCTTCTCCTATTTGTCGTCGCTGGGGTAGTAGAATTCTCCAGATATCTGGGTGGACAGGTGTTGAATCATCCCTATTACATGTATTCACTCTCAGTTGATTCGATAAACAAAGCTGCTGTGATCAATCTCTCCCTTCACCCTGTGACATTAGATTTTAAAACTGTCATCCTATCCCATCCAGCCGTATTGTATAATTGTGTGTAATTCCATGTATTGAGTGATATAGCTGAACTATTCTCTAGAATCCTTATCTTATTTGGGTCAGCCAATCTAGATTTTGCTGATAGGTTTTTATGTCCGGCTAGTCTGACTGACTGACCATGTTCTACTAGTTTAACCTATGTATTTGACCTGACTGACAATCATTCCAGCAGGCAGGATATTCGATAAACTAAATTGTTTTGTTTTAAAGGCGAAATCTAGATTTACAATGGGATGGGATAGGATGACAGTTTTAAAATCTAATGTCACAGGGTATAGGGAGAGAGTGATAACAGAAGCTTTGTTTATCGAATCAAACGTAAATGCATGTAATAGGAATGATTCAACACCTGTCCACCCAGATATCTGGAGAATTCTACTACCCCAACGACGACAAATAGGAGAAGACAGAGAAAACTATAAAAATCAAATCTCGAAGTCGTGTGACCAAAATTGATATGATTATGAACAATAAATTGTGTTCGAAACGTCATCCAGTATACAATACTGTTTCACTGTGTGATACATTTAATAAACAAACTAATATGGAATTACTACCACAGTGCCCAAGTTTTACACATATATGAACATCTCTTGTTTTTAAAACTTTGTCCAATCATCAGCCATGCAACAGGTACAACATGTATAATAAATAAATGAAATTGTATGTTTTATATAAAAATACATCTCTCGTTTTTAAATTGTTTATCTTGTCATGTGAATCAAGAAACAGCTATCAATAAGTATACTAAACAAAACAAAAATTGTATGAGCTGTTATCAAAAATTTGACCTCAGACTTTTATGTTAATTACGATTAATTTCCCTGAAGAAGTTCGGACCACACTGCCGAACGAAATGTTGGAATTAATCATTTCAACTTCGCTGAGATTTTACAAATATAATTTTATAAATATCTACTTCTCACCCAGCTCTCAATTATTTTGGAACTATCCGGTCAAATCTTGATCACAGTTCATATGAGTCAGGTCATCTATATGTTAACCGTATTTGCCCTACGCCAAGTCCGCTCTGATTACTTGTTGAATCAGTCTTGTTCGCATTTTCTCACGACCAATATTTGCGACACAAACATTGACGTAAATAATTGTCTACCAATTTGGCTAGCAGCCTGCTCTCACCACAGGGGCATCTTCCCTGAAGTACGTGTTCTTTTTTTTCATGAATGTCTCAATTAGGATTATTCATGAATTTGTGGGTGTGCCATTTATATACGGTTGTCCACAACTCACCACGGTTTTTGCTAATTCTCCCACTTAAATCTCTTCTCCTATTTGAAATGTGAAATTTAAACCCAATCAAACTGTTTGTTGTGTTTTTGCCTTGTAGACGGATATGTCAAAATCCTCGGGAAAACAAACTCGTACACAACAACAACAACAACAACAGCAATCTCAAGCTTCAAGTGGAAATCAAACCAATTCAACTGCTTTACTTCTAGATGATGCTGTCCGCCTTATTCATAAAGAACACGATCCACTTATTGCTATGTGTATTAATCAGGTAATTTACATATAATTTTTGATTTGATTTTGATTACAGTTTGATTCCACAACGTATTTTTTTTTTGGTACAAGTATGGAATCTTCAGCACGTGATATCGGTAGCCCAAATTTTGCAGGCCGACCATAAATAACAGGTATGCGTCTGCAGGAGATCGAACCTTGGACCATGTGTATGGTCGGCGAGAGTCTTAACTACTGTGCCACCGACGCAGTACTTTCGTACTTTCTACCTCGCCAGTATTTGTCAATACGTTTTAAAAAGCATTAATGTAACGATAGAAGACAACGGCTAGGCAACAGATCGTTTATTGAAAAAATCATTATATATATATATATATATATATATATATTTATGTACATTATTACTAGCGTTGTTGGCAAAGAAACAACGTCTTCTGATTGGTTGTTTCCTTGCTCAAGGTTATTCAGTACTGCTTGTGAGCGTTTCTTACAAAGTTAAGCCATATATCCGCGAATCATATTTGTACACGTTAAGTCTGCTGTGATTGGTTGTTGAATTCCTCAAGGTTAGGCTCTGTTGTTGTTATTTTTTTCTCATGATCCCGATTCGGGATGTAAACAGCATTGACGTGAATTGTTCGTTCTACAATTTCGGCTTGCAGACAGTTCTCACCACATTAGTAGCTGTCAGGGTATTTGATGTAAAAATAGAACTTTGTTACTGTATTAGAGTATTATGCCATCATAGAGCGGATTTATTTGATGATAAAGTCTCACGGTTTTATATGGTAATGACTGACTGACTAACTGGTTTCAACATAGAACTTTGCACAGGTGTGCACAAGTTCAGCCTGCCACACTCCCTCTGTGTAGCACACAAAGAAAGAGAAGAGGATAAAGAGAAATAATAGACAGAAGTGTGAGTGAGGAAAAAAGAATTTTAAAATGGAAGAACAACAGAGTTTCATTGGATATAACGCATCACAAAGAGTGAATGAATTTGCACCAGCCATTGAAAACGATTTTGAGCCATACCACCAATTGTCTCCAGCCATCACTGGTTCTTACCATTCCAAGGAGCCTAACCAATGTAGCAGTGTATACCTCCCTGCATGTCTGGCTTAAGCTAACTGTTGTGTATTTCATTGACTGATGAAGTCATGTTGTGGTTTGACCATCTCTGACTCTTTTCCAACCTGATCCTATGTCAGCTAACATCGCCTGTCAGTCGAGAAAGGTGATATCTAGGGCGACAGCTAGACGTGCTTAACACATTTCCTAGCTGTCTCAATCGGCGTGACTTCACGACCTCGTTGATTGACTTCTCATCCTTACCTAGCACTCCATCGATGCCTAACCTCAATATTGCTCACCCTATTATACCTCCTAACATGCGAGATAAAACGCAGTCACCTACGATCAAAGACGACTAGCTAGCTAGCCAGGCTTTTCATGTCTTCCACTCTCAGTGGCCATGTCTCACAGCCAGTTGTTAAAAATGGACAGAGCGAACTGCTGAGCAGTATACACATCCTTTCGTCGATAGCCAGCCGGATATCATTTCCACTAAACCAGATATCGTATAAGTTTGCAGGTAAATGCCAAACGAACCTTCTATGTTTGTGCTGAGATTTCGTCAACGATCGATCCGCTGGCGTTGGCTGATGCAACTCTCCAAATAAGTGAAGTGGTCAACACGCTCTACCACTTCACCCCTGCCTATCTTTAAGCTTGGAGTCGATATGTAGTCCATTTGGCCCGTTCATATATTGTGGTGCCCATGTACTCCATAGGCCTGGGATCACATAGACCTCTATATGTGTTCGGCAATAGGCATTCCTACCGGCGTCCAACAGTCATTATATTTCTTGACCTAAAGGCAGCTTTCGACTCTGTCGATCGAGAAGTTCTCTGGAGATGCTTGGCGGTAAAGGGAATTCAGAGAAAATATATTGCAATGATTAAGGCACTCTATTCGTACTCATACAGCCAGGTGAGAGCTTACGGCGAGCTGTCATCTGAACTGATGACGACCAGTGGTGTCCGTCAAGGATTCCCATTATCTCCTTTTCTATTCAACTTCATCATAGATGTGTTAATGGACTTAACCCTAGGTGACTTCAGTGACTCAGGGATTGACTTGCTACTAGGGAATAATCTCGTTGACTTGGAATATGCAGACAATATAGTCCTTCTAGGCGAAGACGCTGACGAAATGCAGAGTCTTCTAAACACCTTGAGCCGCAATCTACGGATGTTTGGCATGCGATTCGCTCCCTCTGTGAAATGTAAGATGATGTTACAGGACTGGACTACATCGACGCCTAGTTTAAAAATAGGAAGTGAAGTGGTAGAGCACGTTGACCGCTTCACTTATTTGGGAAGTACCATCAGCCAACGCCAACGGGCTGATCTCTGACGAAATCTCAGCACGAATACAAGGGGCTCGTTTCGCATTTGTTAGTTTACGCCGACTCTGGCGTAGACGAGATGTTCGACTATCGACCAAAGGGCGGGTGTACTGCTCATCAGTCCGCTCCATCCTCCTTTATGGTTGTGAGACCTGGCCACTGAGAGTGGAAGACATGAAAAGGCCGGCTAACTGTCTTTGATCATAGGTGCCTGCGCTCTATTTCCTGTGTAAAGTGGCATAATAAGGTGAGCAACATTGATATTAGGCTTCGGTCGAGTTCTAGGTAAGGAGGGGAAATCAATCGACGAAGTCGTGAAGCTACAAAGACTGAGATGGTTAGGACATGTGTTACGTATGCCAAGCCATCACCTCCCTCGACAGTGGGCAATGTTAGCTGATATAGGGTCAGGCTGGAAAAGAGCTAGCCAGCGGTGATCAAACAAAAACTTGGCATCAGTCAATGAAATCCACAACAGTTGGTCTAAGCCACGTAGAAAGATGTAGACTTCCAGGCTGGGGTCCTCGGGACGGTAAACATCTATGGTTGGAAACAATTGGTGACATGGCTAGCTCAAAATCGTTCTCAGTGGCCGGGGCAGATGCATCCACTCCTTGTGACTTATGATCTTCAATGAAACTGTTTTGTATTTCTTTTTTACTCCTTTGTCTCACACCTCTGCTCACTGTTTCTATTATGCTTTTCTTGTACTTTCTTCTCTTGCTTCGCGTGCTACACGGAATGTGGCGACTTGAACTTCCGCACATTTGTGCAAAGTTCTATGTCGAAAACAGACAGACAGATATGTGTTCACTAGTCAGTCAAGTTGTAAGCATTAGAAGTTGGCATTATCCCTTCTTTCACTTTGGTGAGGAACACCACCGACATGTGAAGGCAGTGAGTAGGAGTTTACTTGACAGAGTCTATGAATGCGTAGCTGCATGTGAGGACTGAAGTCTACCTCCATCTTCAGTCATGCCACAAATGGTCTATGAGTTCCATCACTAACACTAACACCCAACCACCAGGTGATATTTGTTCCCTATTCCGCCACATATTACCAATTGAATAATTTACTTTCAGATTTTTATGCTTAATGCGGTTTTATATATTTATTTATACTATATGTGATGACACCGTTCTCCTATGCCTTTTACATCAAATTAATTATAAATAAAGGCCGTGGTGGTAAGCTCTATGTGTGTGTGTGTATATATGTGCATCGGTTCAGATGCTCTGTTTATGTATTTTACGCTATCGTTAAGTTAGCTAGTTAGTTAGTTTTGGGTGATGCTTAGCATTTCTCGTAGATGTGTTTAATACGCTTAATTGTCTGTGCTAAAGGTGCTTTCTATTATGTATTTAACAAATCAATGTGTTATTTCTTTTCCCGCTATTTTATATATATACAATATTATCAATATCTCATTTTTAATCGTTTGTTTTTTGAGGAAATATATTTCAACTACTCATGAGTAGATAGATTAATTATATCTAAAAAATATTTCAAGTTAAATGATGGAATACTTTCTCCCCAAAAGCGGCAAAATTAACCTTTAAGCACCACTAACTACCAATGGATTGTAACCGCACCGATGATCTTGAAACGCTTATTAAGCAAGTTACTGAAACCTGACAAATAATGTTGTCATCATCAATCAAAAATAGGCTCATCGAAGTGTTATGCTATTTATTAAATGGGATGTATGACAAGTTTCAGCAGCGTAGGTTTGGGAAAGATTAAGTTGCACTGCAAGCCAAGGATAAGTTAGGGTTACGTTAACCTAATAAAGGCGACATTAGGGTTGGTTGGAGAATGTGGTTAAATTACTCTGTTGATATAAGAATAGAACTTGTGCACTATGGGTGGTAGAGTATAATCCCATTGTGGATAACATTTATTTTGATAACGTCTCACAGTATGTTATACAGTAATATTTACTGATGACCACGTTTCGACCACAGTTTATTTCCCAGTAAATGTTATTGCATAACACTGTGAAACCTTCAAGTGTTGGTTTGTAGGGATTTGATTGGTTTCAGGACTTCATCATGAGCTGACATTAGTTAGAGAACCATTGGAAAACCTGCAGGGAGTACTGGACAGCTGTTTCGTCCTAGTTTGGGACTCTTCAGCAGTACGCACCCACCGGGATTCGAACCCAGGACCTTCCGGTCACAAGGCGAGCTCGTATACCATTAAGCCACTCCTGGGACCCGATCCAATGGTCGTTGAATTCTAACTTCTGCCAATTCACGACATAGCGCGACCGCTAGCCAATGTCTTCGGCGAGTATTTGTCCTCACACCCGACCAGCTTCACCCTACTGGTCACAACTTCCCACTGGAACCCAGGCAACTACCTACCTGAATAGGGCCAGTCGCCAATGAGCATCTCATTGGTATTCAAGTGTTGGTTTGTAGGGATTTGATTGGTTTCAGGATTTCATCATGAGCTGATATTAGTTAGAGAACCATTGTCCAGTACTCCCTGCAGGTTTTCCAATGGTTCTCTAACTAATGTCAGCTCATGATGAAATCCTAAAACTGTGAAACTTTATCAAAGTAAATTTTACCTACAATGGAATTATCCTCTGTTGATACTCCTATGCTAAACTGAGAGCTATTTTTATCACATGTGAGAGGAAGGTATCTTTTGTAACACTTTTATACAGTTTTTATGCATTTTTGTTTTTCATATATTTACAAGTATTTCATACACAAAAATGCATCCTTCGCATGATTGGTGCCTTTCGAGGTCATTTGGTAGTTAGTGGTGCTTAAACTTTGACTTGAATTTTGACCCTTTGTGTGTGAGGTTGGCTGCTTATCGGTTGATAAATTTTGTCTATCTCGAGTGTGTCTACTGATTGACGACTCACTGGAATACCAGGCAGGCTTCTGAAAATACTCTAGCATTCTTGTTGTTTGTGGTGGACTGGATTGTGCGTCAGACAGTGGGAAACGAGAAGACAGGGATATCCTGGACCGACGTGAAGTACCCAGAAGACCTGGATTTCGCGCGTGGATAATTTATGCTTGATGTCACACAAAATCGAAGACTTACAAGCGAAAACCGACCGACAAACTGGTGGAAGAAGCAGCCGGCGAAGACAGGACTCCAGGTGAACATAGACAAGACGGAGATTATGAAAATAACCAGCTAACAACAACAACAACAGCAGCAACATCCAGCGCTAATCACCATCAACGGGAGAGATTTGAAAGAGGTTACTTCATTCACTTATCTAGGGAGTATTGTCTCAACTACAGGATGTCGGAACGGACGAGGATGTCAAATCGAGCAAGAATCGGGAAGGCCAGCGAGAAACATATTCATCAACCTGAAACCAATCTTCGTCACTCAGTCAGTATCAACAACAAAATTCGGTCGGATTTTCAATACAAACAACGTCAAGTCAATCAGCTGTTCTATACGGATCAGAAACTTGGCGGGCGGGTGACAAAGAATATTTCCAACAGCCTGTTGCAGACGTTACCTTTATGAACAACTGTCAACTATCGCTCTATACTGAAGATCAGATGGCCGTCCGGAAAGGATCACCAACAAGAAACTATGGGAACAAACAAACAAAACAAGAACCAATCGCCAGCTAACAAATATGCAGGAGAAAGTGGAAATGGATTGGACACTCACTGAGGAGCCCACTGAGTGACATCAGGCGCGCGTCAGGCCATTGGTCTAGTTGAACCCGAAAGAGACGAGGCGATTGGGACTTCGGTGTAAGGGTGACATGGAGGACGAGATCGTGTAAAGAGGAGTTGAAACAGTATGGGCTAACTAACTTGGATGCAGGTGAAAAGTACAGCAGAAGGAAGACATAAGTGGCAAGTGGAGATGTGCAGTTGAAGCCGTATGTTTCACTAGGAACCCAAGGGAACAATAATAATAATAATAATTCTTGTTGTTTCCTCTGTCTAGAATTTGAACGTTGTCCCAGTCTAGAGAACACAATCACATCAAAATCATCCACCTGAGCTACAAATCTTTTCCATCATATCTAAGGTCTAGGATTTCATAGACATCACAGTCATTCATTGTGTGTACAACTTGATGGCAATTCGAAGATGCGCATAGGTGTAGGAGAAGGAAGGGGCTTCTTTTTTTGTGTACACTTTTGTTAGGTCATATCACGGTGAAGAATTAGGATTGGTACTCTTCTCACAGTTTTGCGAAAATGCATCCAATATTGTGAAAGAAAAGTCTGCTTTCATAACTTCACTTCAAAGCTACCCAGTCAGTTATTTATAGTGTATATTTATATATATAGGCGGTGTAGATTGACAACAAAGGTCAAACAAAGGTTACTATCCGTTAGTAATGCAGAGCAAATCATAATGGATGAGTAATAGGTGTATATATGTCCAAACAAAGTTCACTTTTAACAGTTTGAAAAAATTTGGGCATTGGGTGGTATATGATATTCATTATATATAAAGGTTTCTTTCGTATTTCCCAATGAATGAATGAATGAAAAACAAAACGATATTCTCGTTTTTACTGACGTTTCGCTAATTATCGCTGCTGCTAATAGCTTTATCAAAGTAGTGATATTAAACCGGAATTTACAAAATCCACTCAGCTTATATACAACAAAGAGTTAAGATTTTCATGATTTGATCACGGATTGATATCAGTTAGAGAACTATGGAAAGCCAGCCAGCACTGGAGTACTGGACAGCTGTTGTTTCATCCTAGTTTGGGAATCATCGGCAGTACGCACCCACTGAGGTTCAAACCCAGGACCTTTCGGTTACAAGGCAAGCTGGCTGGTATACCATTCAACCACTGAGATCCGATTCAATGGCTCATGAATTCTAGACTTAGGCCAAACACTAAAAGGATATACTGAAAGTCAAAATAACAATGAAGATCACTAAACTAAATAACAAGGGGAATATTACATCTGTTATGATATCAAAACAAAGTTTACTAACCTCATCATCGTCCGTTAGCCTGGGGTCATTTTTCGTTGTCAAGTTGGTCAATTGGTAAAGATAACAAAATCAAGTGTAGATTCTTGGATTTGATCAGTGTGTAAAATTATAAAAGCAGTGTGTTTACATAGTGAACTTGCCTATCACATTCGTGTTGTAACCAGGTCAGATTCTGTTTTAGTCCATTATTCCTATTTAGTTCAGACAATTTGGATTCCACTTGATGATATGAGGCGACTTTCTTTGTGATTTCTGAAATGCTTTTTCTGGATGATGATTTCAATATTATCAAAATCAATTTTGTGGCCTGGTTCTATGGCGTGTAGACCACCTTATGGTTGATGATTTTTCAAGTTTTTCTAGTTCAACCAGATTTCTCATTGGTCGAACAGATGCTCTACGGTGTTCATTTCTTCTGATTTTGATTTCTCTCTGGGGATGTTTGTCCGATGTATATTGCATCACATTCCAAGCATTTTATTTTATAGACACATTTAGATAAAGAATCTTTCGGGATTTGGTCTTTTATATGGACAAGGTTGTTTCGTAGTTTGTCTGATGTTTTGAAAAAAAAACTCTAATGTCGAGCTTATTGAGTATTGTTCTGATATCGTCTGACGTCTCTGCTCTATATATGGGATGACGACTGTTGATGTCCATATTTTCGGAATGCGTTTTCGGCCATACTTAATGTCTGTGTTGATTTTGTTGATAAAGTTCGTTGGGTACTTTGATAAAGCTATTAGCATTAAATAGCGAAGTGTCAGTAAAAACGACAATATCGTTTTGTTTCATTCATTGGGAAATAAAAAAAACTTTTATTATAATGAGTAATAAGTATGTTTGAAAAATTAATAAATAGTATTACGTAATCAGGTAGGTCGCGGGTGTGAGGACAAACACTTGCCATGAATAACACTGGCTAGTGCCATTGGCGCTATATATTCTGCGTGCCTTGGCAGAAATTGGAATTCATGGGCTGGTCATTGGATCGGGTCTCAGTGGCTTAGTGTGGTCTACGGGGATAGCTCGCCTTGTAATCCTGGAAGATCCTGGGTTCGAACCCTGCCGATGAGTACGTACTACTGAAGAGCCCCAAACTACGCTGAAGAAATAGCTGTCCAGTACTCCTTGCTTGTTTTTCAGTGGTCCGTTAACTAACTCGTTATGAAATCCTGTAACCAAAAGGGTAGGCAACTAATTTTGTTGAGTGATGAATCATCGTTTGAAAATAGGTTGATTTGGGATTAAAGAACCAATTATTGAAAAAGAGTAGTAGTACTTAGTGGCAGTACTTAGTCTGTGGTAATAGTAAACGAAGCTGGATGAAATGTCGCTGAAGAACATGAAGTTCAGGTTTCTCTCTCTCTTTAAGGATTTACTAAGGCTTCAGCTGCATGAAAAAGATACAGGCGAAATCCTTTCACACAATTTAACCGCACTTCATATACTAATTTGAAAGAAGTCTCTGCTGATTATGCATGATCAGAAGTGATAATATGCTCCAGAATATTGAGCTTTTGACAGTTCTCGTTTTTTTCAGATCGTGGAAAACATCCGTAAGGACATTAGAAAGAAGAGAACATTAGAGAAGAGAAGTTCAGCAAAGATGGCGATCTTTTCGGCGATTTCATTTGCAAAAGTAGCTGTACAATCGCATTTAAATACATAATTTTACATGGATATATTTTCTTGTCTGATTACAAACATAATTACGACGGAGAATAAAAGGTGATAATTATTTTCAACTAGATATGGTTTTTACGAGGAAAGGCATAGAAACAAAACTACACACCTCCTAACTTCCATTTCAAGTTAAAATTAAAATGATTACTTCAATTTTTCTTTCCATGCTCATTTTCCATACACCTGTAATTCTCTATAATCCCGTGTAATTTTTGTGTATCTAAGGCTTTTGTAATCTATATATTCACGCCTCCTAACTCCCATCTCAAGTTGAAAATTATTATTTCAATTTTATTTCCATGCTCATTTTTACACACTTGTTATCCGTTCTAATCTTGTGTTAATTTTGTTTCTAAGCCTCTCCTCGTAAAAAACCATATCTAGTTGAAAATAATTATCACCTTCTATTCGCCATCGTAACTATGTGTGTAATCAAACAAGAAAATGTATCCATGTAAAATTATGTATTCCAATGGGATTGTACAGTTGCTTTTGAAAATGAAATCACCGAAATGATGGCCAACTACTTTACTGAACTTCGACTTCTCCTTTTGACTACTATGCTGATAAGTATTCTTGGCCTCGTCTAGGCAATATCCTGCGAGTATGGCCTATGTGCTTAGCTCTGTCAGCAGGAGCAATTGAAATTGGTACACAATACATATTGAGGTTCTTGTCTTTGACGTTTTTATAAATAAGAACATGTGTAGAGAAGATGGTGGAGATGCAGAGAGGAAGCCTTCTGGTTAGAGCAAAAAACATTCAACTGTTGAAGTATTTTAATGTCTTCTTTGTTTTCTATAACACTGTCTTCTTTGATTTGATCATTCTATATATATATATTCAGGTTAACTTCAATGCAATAGCAATAGCTACACCGAAAGAGATTATTGAATTAGATATTGAAAATTTAGTCAATTTACCACCATGGTATGCTGATGAAGTTGAATACGACTTGGAGTCAATGCGTCGGTAAGTAATTGTTTTGTGTTTCCTGTCGAATATATACATATGTTCATATATATATGTCCTGTTGGTGTGGGATTTTTGTGAAAGTCTATAGAATATAGTGTAACTGGTTAATTTGAAACTACTTTGTCCAATATGCGTACCCACGAAGCAGGAAGTCTTACTGATATTGATCTGTTCATGAAAACTGCTTTTACTTATCCATAAAGCCATTGAACCATAAAATGTTTAGCCATTTTGGAATTTAACTCAGTTCCAGTGGTAAGATTTTACCGTAGTGTATCGCTTAGAAAAACCAAGTTATTCCGATCACCACAATATGTGATCTCCTTGATCCTATAAATGGTAGTCAAGAAAGCAAAAGAATTTTCAGGTGGTTTGAATTGATTCAACCTTCTGAGCTGAGTCAGACCGGGTATACCATTTTTGATGAGCTCGGCCCCGAAGAAGCAAAACAGTCGTCCTGTGGTGCTGTTTACATCACCCCTCTATCTGACTGGCTAGCTAACAAGCACTGTTAATCGATATGAGTAGTGTGGCATCCAACTACTCACTTACCTCAATCAATCACTTAAATTAATCTTTGTTTGGTATTTTGTTCCCTCTGGTTAGGGAAGTTAATCGATCTTTTCAGGATTTCATCATGAGCTGACATTAGTTAGAGAACCATTGGAAAACCTGCAGGGAGTACTGGACAGCTGTTTCGTCCTAGTTTGGGACTCTTCATCAGTACACACTCGCCGGGATTCGAACCCAGGACCTTCCGGTCACAAGGCGAGCTCGTATACCATTTAGCCACTCACTGGGACCCGATCCAATGGTCGTTGAATTCTAACTTCTGCCAATTCACGACATAGCGCGACCGCTAGCCGATGTCTTCGGCGAGTATTTGTCCTCACACCTGACCAGCTGCACCCTACTGGTCACAACTTCCCACTGGAACCCAGGCAACTACCTACCTGAATAGGGCCAGTCGCCAGTGAGCATCTCATTGGTATTCAAGTGTTGGTTTGTAGGGATTTGATTGGTTTCAGGATTTCATCATGAGCTGACATTAGTTAGAGAACCATTGGAAAACCTGCAGGGAGTACTGAATCCCGGTGGGTGCGTACTGCTGAAGAGTCCCAAACGGGGCTGACGAAACAGCTGTCCAGCACTCCCTGCAGGTTTTCCAATGGTTCTCTAACTAATGTCAGCTCATGATGAAATCCTGAAACCAATCAAATCCCTACAAACCATCACTTAATCGATCTTTGTTGGTCGAAGAGATATTCTCATCATTCCTCGCTTTCCCAGTGGAACCACTGCAAGCAATGGTATTGTTGTTTATTTTTGCAGAGTGAAGCTGCTCGCTTCACGCCTAATGTTCCTTCTTTTCCGGTCTTATTATCAGCTAAGTGAAATTCAGCAGTACGTCAGTAACAACAGAAGACAAGGGCCAGGCAACAGATCGTTTATTGAGGAAATCAATACAACATATTTATAGATTTTCATGTACATTATTATAGATTATTATTAGCAGAAAAACACAGTCTTCTGATTGGTTGTTCCTCGTTGAACGTTGATCTTTCATCTCTTTGTGGCCGTTTATTGAAGTTCAGATTATCTATCTGCTTATTGTATCCGCCTACGCAAACAAAGTGTGCTGTGGTTGGTTGCTGAATCAGTCTTTGTTCTTATTTTTCTCACGACCAATATTTGTGACATGAACATTGACGTAAATTACTGTCTACCAATTTGGCTGGCAGTCAGCCCTCACTACACATCAACCTAGTATTCTACGGTTGATCCACTAACTGAGCCGATCACCATCATATTTTTTTAACAATATGGTGTACAAGAAGTCTTGCTTCAGTTAGATTTTGTTTCAGGTTACTCTCAATCAGAGAAAATATACCTCTAACATTAGTGGAACACATTTTCTCTTTGAAATTTGCTACCTTACTCACTCGTTATTGAAGTTAAAAGCTTTATTAATAAATCGTGTCGCTTATCGGCAATGGTTTTCTACATTAATAGTAATGTTATACTTGCTTGAATTTTAAACAGATATGATTCTCCTCAAATTAAAAGCTAATCATGAAGAAAACAAAAGAAAAATTCAGCCAGCGAAGAAAATTTTCTTTATCGACGAAATCATCTCCCTTCAGGGGCTGTACTTATCGAAAAATATATAGTGGTCTATTATTGAGTAATAGCGGCGAGTGACATAATTGATATAATTACTCAGAAGTGGCTTTAGAAGTGAAAATTAACAGTTGTAAATTACATGGTACTCAACAGCACAAAGATAGAAGTTTGATAAGGTTAAAATTGCTCTTGAGTGAGGGAGAATAAAGGTGGTATTTGAGTGTCAATTTAACAAGTGTGAAGAGGGTGTGAAAATATACAAAAGGAGCATATGAAACTGATAATAGTGAATTAATTATTAAGGCAAAAGCAAACTAAAAGTAAAATTGAAAATTAAAAGAAAAAACCAAATTTTTTTTACAGGGAATGATTAGTGAAGAGGTTAAGACCAAGGTAGAATAAGAGACTGGACAAACGTTTTCTGTATACAGAGTTCAGGGTTGTATTGACAAATTGCCAGCGCCTCCGCCATACACAAAAGCCGAAACCTGACGCCCTTTGTACCATTTGGCTTCACTACTTTGTAGATGATGTTGAAAGACGACTCTGGTGGAGCTACGTGGCCTGAGTTGTTCACCGAATGCTTGAAAATTGAGCTAGTAATTGTCTTACCTTGTCCCTTTGCTAACCATGCCGGATAATGTTCAGAGATACGTTTGGAAAGCGTGCGCTTTGTTCGGACGGCCAAAATAACTAGCTCCACACGAGCAGGTGAATTTATTAACACACACTGATGTGGCCAGTCGAAAGCGGCAGTTTATCCTTCACACATCCGTTGATCATTTGTCGGCTGTAGAAATTGATCCGTAGCTCAGCCATAAAGAAGGCTTTCCTCAGTGATCTGCATAAGCAATCTTCAGGATCTCAGCTGCGGTATCACCTTTGAATTCAACACTCATAAATAACAGTTTCTTCGCCGCCGTCTGAATCTGTCTTTTATTTTCTTCATGACTCAATGGGGTGTTTTCGGTGATTTAAAAGCTAATCTGTACTGTTACGTATCAATACACTTGTGAACAATGCTCAGCCAAAGCATTCTCTTGACTGATTAACATACCGTCTGGTTTTAATGTAGAACTTTGCGCAGAACTGTAACAGTTCAACTTGCCGTACCATGTACTACACAAAGTATTATGACCGGAACTACGACCTTGTGTAGTTTATGAGCGAATACTAACTTAATGAGCTGGCTACTCCGTCCTAACCGCTCGTCAAGAATAATAACAATAACATCAATAATACCGTCGATATGCCAAAGATAGAAGAGATGACTGCACGTTGGTAGGAGAACTTTTACTGTCTCAAAATAATAGACAAAAAAAGATTGACAAGTCCTGGGCATGTATATATATATATATTTTTTTTAATGACCTTGAGAGGTACTAATGTCATCGATAAATTAAAATAGTGAACAACCAATAGGATTTTAAAGGTCATAAGTAGGATGAGAGAAAATCTGGTCATAAATCAATAAGTGGGCTGAGAAAAGTACAAACAGTCATGGAGTAGATTTTTATTGGATGTAGAAGATCACAGAGAGTGAATGAATCAGGGTTGCTGCAAAAGGATTTCTAGTCATATTATTAATTTTCTCCAACCATTACTTCTTAAAATTCCAAGGACCTTAACCAGTCAGACAATTTACACCTGCCTACGTGGTTGGTTGACTTAAACTAACTGTGAAATATTTCATGAACTGATTCCAATCTCAATCGATGCAGCTGCTTCACAACCCCCACCTACGTAGCACTCGACCAAAGCCTAACCTCAATATTATCCACCTTATTATACAACCTAAAATACAGGGGAGATAGAACGCAGGTACCTATGATCAGAGACATCTAGCCGGCCTTTTCATGTCTTCCACTCTCACTGACCAGATTTCACAACTATAATTGACGACAAAGGGAACTGCTACTGAGCAGTACACACATGTTCTTTGATCGATGATAGCCTCTTGATATTGATTCTTAACCTATAACAACTGAGAATAATAAATGCGCGAAGATGCACACAAGTACAGCCGCTGTATCGAGTCACCTACGTATATAATATAATCTCACACTTGGTCTATAGACTCCACGTGTAACCAACGATGAAGTGTGATTTTCAAACCCTTAACCAATAAGGTTTACAATATCGTCTTCACCAAAGATGGACGTCTAGACTCATGTGAAAGTGTTTGAATACAATTAAAAACAGCCTCAGTTAGGAATTAATATTGTCATACCAACTATAAACCTGTATCTATGTGTTTTTTTCTTGATTTCTGAATAGTCCTCAAACACGTCGATATCCTGAAGGTGGAACTGATGATTTTATTGTTTGTGATACCGCTGGCGGCAGTGGTGGTGGTAGTGGTACCTCAACGAAGTATGGTGGTGTTGATCATCATTCATCAGAGATGACTACAGCATCGAATATAACATCATCATCAACAAGTGGATTATCCTCGGTTGGTGATAGTAGCTCTTCTGGTTCAGGTTCACATGTGGTAAGTTTTAAGAAATTGTGTGTTCCTTATAATCCTCCGTATCTGGCCTTAAAATTGCCCGTATAATTATCAACTCTTCCTCACATGATTTTCTCCATGTGTTACCCTTGGATACACGCTCAAGTCGTCGTCCCCCATCCGAGTTCCTCTTGAGCGATGGCTTGGCGCAAGGTGTCACTTGACGATCTCCTCACTGTCTGTCTGATCTATCTACACGTCATTTGGTCATATTTGTTGAATAATAAGTCCTCGATTAGCTTGTTCTGAGTGTGTCTTATTGCTGATACTTTCTGGCTATATCTCATCTTCAGTACGGAACGATAGGGATCTGTTGATAATACTTTTCGTGATCCATATAGAAAAATTCACCGACTTAACATTGATGTTCAAAAATCTAAATTTTGTTGTTTTTATGCTGAGGTGGAGTGTAGAAGATTTTCAAACTGATACCAGAGCAATGAAGGTCTTTGTCCTTGAGGTCCAGATGTTCTAGAATCTTCTTATCGGCACAATGTATTCCTGTGTTCTCTCGCGCTCCCCATGCACTGTATGCCGTATAATCTAGTCAACTACAATCAGAGAGATATCATTGGTGACAGGGGTAAGCAGGCAGTCTTGTCCTACTCTCGTCTTCATTATAAAGGATTCCTTGAGTTTTCCGTTGTGAGGATCACTTGACATGTGGTAACACTATCATACAATTGTTGAATGACACTCTGACAAGGATTTGAGGCATTTCCCTCCATTGTGTTGAAGCAGTTTTCATGAAAGCAAGACAAGCGCTTCCACTACTCTCAAGTGAGTCTGTGTGGAGGTCAACATTACTCAGCACTCAGTATGAAAATGAAAATAAGATCCGGATCTTCAACTCCAATGTGAAGTCAGTCAGTGCTACTTGCTAGACGGATCAGAGACTTGCACTGCGCGTCATATTATTATTATTATTATTATTATTGTATCCTTTAGTTCCTAGAGGAACATAGGGCTTCAGCTGCGCACCTCCATTGACTTCGGTTTTTTGACAACTTTTTCACCCTGCTCCAGGTCTGCCCACATGCTTTCATCTCCTCTTCACATGACCTCCTCCAAGTCACCCTTGGACGACCAACTCGCCGCCTCCCTTTCGGGTTCCACTCGAGGGCTTGTCTAGTGATGTCACTTGTTGGTTTCCTCAGCGTATGGCCAATCCATCTACATTTCTTTCTGCCTATTTGTTTAACAATCGGTTCCTGATTGGTTCGCTCCCAGAGATCCCTGTTGCTGATCTTTTCTGGCCATCTGATCTTGAGTATTGAGCGGAGACAGTTGTTAATGAAGGTTTGAAGTTTGTTTGAGATGCTCTTTATGACTCGCCAAGTCTCTGATCCGTATAGTAGCACTGACTTCACATTGGAGTTGAAAATCCGGATCTTATTTTTGATGCTGAATGCTGTTGACCTCCACACAGATTTGAGAGTAATGAAAGCTTGTCTTGCTTTTCCGATTCTGGCTTTGATGTCCTCGTCAGTTCCGCCTGTAGTTGAGACGATGCTTCCCAGGTAGGTGAAGGAGGTTGTTTCTTTCAGGTTCTTCCCATTTATGCTTATTGTTGTCTGTTGTTGCTGTTGATGTTGGCAAGGAATCTTCATTATCATATAGAGCATCTCAAACAAACAACAGACCTTCATTAACAGTTCTGTCTTTGCTCAATACTTCGCTCAAGATCAGATGGCCAGTCAGAAAAGATCAGCAATAGTGAGGGATCTCTGACAATGAGCGAACCAACCCAGCAGGAACCGATTGTGCCACAAATAGGCAGGAAGACATGGAGATGGATTAGTTGTACTATGAGAAAACAAAGCATCAAGTGACATCAATAGACAAGCCCATTGGACGAGTAGAACCCGAAAGGGAAGCGGCGAGTTGGTCGTTAGTGCTTCATTGGGGTGATTTGGAGGAGGTCATGCAGAGAAGAGGAGATGAAAGCATGTGGGTTGCAGACTTGGAGCTGGGTGAAAAAGTTGGCAGAAAACCCGAAGGCAATGGAGACGCGCAGCTGAAGCCCTATTTTCCTCTAGGAATTAAAGGATATAATAATAATAATAATTTCGGATTACCTCGCGGTCAACACTGTTGAAGGCCTCTTCAGAGTCGATGAAGTTGACATGGTAGAGATTTGACTGCCATTCTATAAACTCTCTGTTCGATGATGATCATGATGACGTTTAGAATTGCAATTTGATCTATACACACACACACACACACATGATTTGCTTCTGCTGATGAATCCAACTTGTTCTGACGACAGAATCTCAATTAAAACTACTAGAAAATCATAACGAAATTAATCAATTGACATTCTATGACAATTTTACAAAAGTTATCGATTATTTATCACTTCATATCTACCGATTGGTTGAATAATAGACTACTCATGCCATCTCAGGTGCGCTCACCTCTGAAGAGTTCCAGAGTAGGAAAAAATCACTTTTTAGCGCTGTCCCAGCAGTTCTCTAACTGACAGTGGTTAGTGTTAATGAATTGGTTTAGCATCGCTTCGATGCCGCTAGTGAACACCACTTTATCTGATGGCTGGATGATTCTGAAGGCAGCCACATTGGGAAGCTTTGTTGTACCAATGTTTTATGCTAATTGGTATTTATCGGCTAGGCTAGTCTGTAACCTTAATGGATCTAATTCCTCTTAATAGAGAAAGAACAACAGTGGTGGTTTGTGCAGAATAAGAAGATGGTACCATGATTGCTTATTTCGTTGGCTTCTCCTCATCAGCTGCTGCTTACAGCCTGAATAAATTATGAGGTTTAAGTACAGACATGTTTTAACATACTTGCAAGTTTACATGTTGTCAGTTGACAGAAAGTTTCACAATTAGTGAACAGTGCTCAGAAAAAATTGCGCTTATATGGTTTCTACACAGGCAGTTCAAGTTAAAATAAAATAAATCTATGCATATAATGGTAAAGGAGTTACATAATAAAGATGAGATGTGCGTTAGATGCACAGTGACTAATAAGTTAGGTAACAATGTACTGAGTTGAACTCAAATCATAGAAACAAGAGACAAGCAAAATTACAGATTATAAAAGGGAGGATAAGGTTAAAGACAAAGATTACGTAATCAGATGAGAGAAAAAAAGACATCCAGTCACCAGGATGTGCAAGGAAAGACTAATAGCTGCTTCTTTGTGAACACATAAATCTGGTTTGAAGCGTTTGATAGAAATTGCTTCGGCAAACTTGAGGAGAATGGAACTTCTTTGTCTATTGATAATTTTGAAGGATTTCTCGATTTTCACCTTATGACCACTTGTGTCGAGGAGATGTCTGGTAATAGCGCCACTATAAGAGTTTGTTCCCTTGAGACGTCGTAGGCTTTTCGGCACATGTTCAGAAAATCGGAGGTGTTCTGTTCTCCCAATGTAACTGCTTCCGCAGTTTGCTCCTCAAGTTTGCCGAAGCAATTTCTATCAAACGCTTGAAACCAGATTTATGTGTGTGTTCAGAAAGAAGCAGTTATCAGTCTTTCCTTGCCCTGGTAACTAGATGTGTTTATTCTCTCATCTGATTACGTAATCTTTGTCTTTAACCTTACCCTCCTTTCATAAACTGTAATTTTGCTCGTCTCTTGTTTCTATGATTTGAGTTCAACTCAGTACATTGTTACCTAACTTATTAGTCACTGTGCATCTAACGCACATCTCATCTTTATTATGTAACTCCTTTACCATTATATGCATAGATTTATTTTATTTTAACTTGAACTGCCTGTGTAGAAACCATATAAGCGCAATTTTTTCTGAGCACTGTTCACTAATTGTGAAACTTTCTGTCAACTGACAACATGTAAACTTGCAAGTATGTTAAAACATGTCTGTACTTAAACCTCATAATTTATTCAGGCTGTAAGCAGGTAGCTGAGCTGATGAGAAGCCAGCCAACGGAAACAATAAACAATGATGGTACCATCATCTTATTCTGCACAAACCGCCACTGTTATTCTTGCTTTATTCAAATTCATAACAAGGGGAATAAATGCATGAAGTTCCTCTTAGCAGATTCAAACTGATGTTATGCAATGACACTGAAAGACCTTATCATTGGGTTATTCGAACCATAAATGATTTTCTGTTCGACTGTGATCAATATTTCTTCCCGCATTTATTCCTCTTTATGAATTTAAACAAAGTAAAAACAAATGCTTTTTCAAATTTTTCAAGAGTTACTTTGCATGGATTTGATCGGTTGCAAGTTCGTTAATGAGCTGACATCAGTTAGTGAACAATTGAAAACCAACTAGGAAGTACCGAAACAGCTGTGTTTTTTTTTGTTATCATAGCTTGCGACTCATAGGCGGTACGTACCCCCTCCGCTCGGGATTCGAACCCAGGGAACTAGGATTACACCTCAAACTCGTAGAACCGTTCAGTCACTGGGAGGCGATTCACTGATGAGCCCATGAATTCCAATATCTACCAATTCGTGATTTTTAGCGCGACTAGCATCAGCCATCAATGCTGTCAGCCAATGCCAACGGGTTGATCTCTGACGAAATCTGAGCACGAATACAGGGGGCTCGTTTCGCATTTGCCAATTTACGCCGACTCTGGCGTAGACGAGATATTCGACTATCGACCAAAGGGCGGGTGTACTGCTCATCAGTCCACTCCGTCCTCCTTTATGGTTGTGAGACCTGGCCACTGAGAGTGGAAGACATGAAAAGACTAGCTGTCTTTGATCATAGTTGCCTGCGTTCTATCTCCCGTGTGAAGTGGCATAATAAGGTGAGCAATATTGAGATTAGGCTTCGGTCGAGTTCTAGGTAAACAGAGGAAATCAATCGACAAAGTCGTGAATTTACAAAGACTGAGATGATTAGGAAATGTGTTACGTATTCCAAGTCATCGCCTCCCTCGACGAGCAATGTTAGTGGATATAGGGTCAGACTGGAAAAGAGCTAGACAGCGGCGGTCAAACAAAAACTTGGCTTCACCAGTCAATGAAATCCACAACAGTTGGTCTAAGCCATGTAGGAAGGTGTAGACTTCCTAACTGGTTGGGGTCCTCGGGACGGTAAAAATGTATGGTTGGAAACAATTGGTGACATGGCTCAAAATCGTTGTCAATGGCTGGCGCAGATGCATCCACTCCTTGTGATTTATGATTTCCAATGAAACTGTTTTGTTATTCGTTATTACTATTCCTTTGTCTCACACCTCTGCTCACTGTCTCTATTATGCATTTCTTCTACTTTCTTCTGTTGCTTTGTGTGCTACATAGAGTGGAGTGTGGCGGCTTGAACTGCTACACATCGGTGCAAAGCTCTATGTCGAAAACAGGCGGACAGACTGGCGGGTATTTATCTTTACTTTGGATGTAGTTGACTCCACTAACTAACCGGTCACCACCCCTTCCCACTAGAACTCCAGTCAGCTCTCTAGTTCTCTAGTCAGATTTATTTTCGAAAATTAGTTTGTAATTCGGATATTCATGGGCCATTGAGTTACCTCTTAGGGGCTGAATGTTCTATGCGGTTTATTCGTAACCGGTAGGTCCTAGATTATAACTCCGTTGTGTCCGTCTGTAGGAGAGATCAACAGCACTCATCATGAAAAACAAGATCCGAATTTTTAACTCCAATGGAGATGTGAGGCTGAAGCCCTATGTTCCTCTAGCAACTAGAGGAGACAATAATAATGTTCCTTTTTTGTTCCTCTTTGGCCACCTAAAACCTAAAGGGTAATTGTGTATATGTGGGGAGCATCTTAACAAACTTGCAAGGTTACACGATTTTTTGGTGAACAAAGATGTGAAATTAGTAAATATTGCTCATAATTAACACTTATGTAACTCATATGGAAAGAGGTCAAAGTTTAAACAAGAGATACAAATATACACAAGTTTAATGATCGGATGCATTGAGGACATTGAGTTGCACAGACCAAACAAGTAGTGGTGATCGATCGATCGATGTGTCGACTTGTCGTTAAGACATAACAAATATTTCTTTAACAATACTCAATCTACTAATTATACATATTTTTCAGTAGTATATTTTAATATCACCTCATTTTTCATTTTTGCAAATACACGTATGCATTTATTCGGGTAATTTTGTTATATACATATATGTATACAGTTCCGTAGTATGCATCTCCATCCTTTACACGCGAATTTGGCGAATTTATCTAAACAAGCGTTGGAACGCAGCAGACGTCTAGCTACCACGGTATATCATTATTACTGCTATATATTGTCGCTATGATTGTTTCTACTTTCACTCTCTCTCTCCAACCCTTTTCTTTCCTAAATTTCCTGTTGCATGCTCTCGTGCTATACTTTATATTCACATGTATGCTTGTGTGTGTATTTGTGTGCGTACGTTTGATCTGAGTGTTGTGTACAGTTGATTAGTTCTGAGAGAATTAATAGGAGAGAACAGCTGTAAGTACCTTTAGTTCTTTTAGTGAGCTATACTCATTGTGTCAGTTGAACTAATTATGCCACTCAGCTTGCTCAGGGTGAATTAGGTAGAGCTGGAATCGGGGGAGTAATTAAGCCAGTGACCTGTATCTCCACCACACGAGAGAACACGGAAATAGGCGTGGATTAGCGGCGTTGAGGTGCAGTAGGGGAATAGAAAGTTTCAAGAAAAAGAAATGAATATTTGAGTAAAACTTGGGTATACTTTGTTATCATAGTGATTCCTTCATGTTCCCCAGTGGAAACTAGGGCTTCAAGCTAGTGGCTTGACGTTTCTGTAGCAGTGTTTATTTTACAGGAAGAGGTTGTTAGCCTTATGCCCAACCTTTCCTCTTTACCAGCATTATTTCTTGTTTAGAGAGGTAGGTAAAGGAGTGCATCCGTGGCCGGGGATCGAACCCCGGACCATATGCATGGTCGGTGAGCGTCCTAACCGCTATGCCACCGACGCCATAATTCCATATTAATTTGTTTATTAAATATATATCATAGACACAGTGAAACAGTATTATTATTTACTGGATGACAAAATTCTGAACACAATATACTAACTATTCATTATCATATCATCGATTGTAACTACAAAATTTCGAAAATTTCCATTTAATGATTTTCATTATTCCTTCTTATTAGAACACATTAACTCAAAGGAGGAGACAATTCACTTCACCACCTATGAATTATAAAGTCAGGAAGAGAGATGGAGCTTCCAATGTTAGATTATAGCATGAAGAAGGAAAGAAGATAGAAAGTTAAACACACTGAATTTTACGGAAAACATATACACATTCAAACCGACATATTTGGATTTCGGATCATCCCAGACTAAGTCAGCGAAAATAGGATTGGTGAAATATATAAGTAATAGGAAAGAAAGACCTAAATATTACCAAAGAAAATCGAAGACAGGAAATGAGGCATATAAGAGAATCATGGAAACTTAATAATTACCCTGATATATTGATCAGGAAGTATGTAGAAAAGTGTGAAAATAAAACTGATATTAATAATGACAAACATGCACAGAATGATGGCAACACCGACAATGAGGAATTTAAATCATCAGTATTACTTCCATACAAAGAAGGAACCTTGGAAACCTCACATTGAATTTATAACAATGCAAGAATAAAGGTGACTTTCAAGCTCACAAATTCACTCTGAGACTAACTTTGTCGGTTAAGGGATCCTGTGGAGTCAATTAAACAAAAAAAAGATAATAAAAATTTAAGTTACCTAATACCCTGCTGAAATGATTGCCAGGTCGAATACATAGGTGGAACGAGGTTAGTCAGTTAGACTAACCGAGCATAAAAACCTAGCAAAATCTAGATCAGTTGACCCGAATAAGATGATAAGAAATCTTCAGAATAGTTCAGGTATATAGCACTACATGCAATTACATATGCAACCATACAATAGGATAGGATGGGGGTAAAATGTAAGTCTTAAAATTTAATATAACAGGGGGAGGGGGCAGGAGAGACTGAGATATCGGGAGCTCTATTTCTTGAATCAACTGCAAATACTTTTAATAGGAATGATTCAACACCTGTCCAATTGGACATCTGGAAAATTCTACACTACATCTACGACGAATAGGAAGGAATAAAAGAAACTACTGGATGAAAGTTTCGAAGTTATCCACTACGTCCACAAGAGTTACCTCTTGCACTACAGATGTCAGTAATTATTTAATTCAGTCTAGACTTCCCCGCTGATAGATTGGATCAAAGTGCTTGGCCTCAGGTTGACATATCAGCTCCTTGTGCTGCGGATGCTTTGATGATGTCTGATTATTTAACAGGGTTCAAGCCTCATTGGGGAAAACCATCACTGACTCACCAGGGAATGCAAGTACATCCAGCTGGTGACGCGAGTCCCAATCAGGACGAAATGCGCATCCTTGGTGGATTCTACTGCCAGCTAGTCACTATCCACCAATTTACTTCAAGTTGAATAATCAGACATTGTCGAAGCATCCGCCGTAAAAGGAACCTACTTGTCAACCTCGAAGCTGAGCACTTTGTTCCAATCAATCAATGGAAAAGTCCAAAGTGACTTACGCAATAAATTACGTAACGTTATCCAGTAGACAAGTTAGTATGCAAAACTAAATAAAGAAGATGAGATGACCATCATTTATATTCCGCTCTCACTGTCCTAATGCCTCTCTGTATACACTTCTCCCTAACTTGACTCTTTTAATTCGTTGTTGTGTTTAGCTACAGCATATATATGGTCATGTGTGTGTGTGTATTAATTCGATTCTTTGTTGTTGTTGTTGTTATTCGTCTATATCATCTTGATTACGCAATATGACGTAGTATCGTTGTCTCTGTATGACACTATTGTTAGTGTTGTAATATATGTATCTGTCTATATTGTGTAGTCGTTGGTGCAATGTGCTCTATGTATGTATGTGTGTGTGTATATATATACACCATCAGTTGTCTTCTCATCTATTTCCACTACATTTATTCTATTTCAACAATAGATATTGAAACGAACACTTCCAGCTGTCTACAGTTTAGCATCGCATCCAACAATGCCATATTGTGAGTAATGACTACCATTTTATTCTTGTTATTATATTTATTACTATTACCAGTATTATTATTATTATTATTTATGTGCTGTCACAACTTATCTAAAAGTAGAAAGCAGTATGGTGAAGATGGGAGATGACTGGAGAGAGGAGCTTCGTGGGCTTTTAGAAATGTATGTGTGACAGGTTGTTACTTTCCGGTTGCCCCCCTCCCCACGACCACAAAAAGATGACAGAATAACCTTCAGTAGGAAAACAACCAATGAGAAGACGTTACTTCTCTGCTAACAATAATATACATAGAAATCTATAAATATCTCTTGATTTTCTTCTCAATAAATGATCTGTTGTCTGGCCCTTCTTTTTCTTCTTCTTCTGTCGTTATAACTAGCATGCTTCAGATTAATTTACAGGAGTTAATTCCTAAGAATGTCGGTGGCGCATAGCGGTTAGGACACTTGCCGATTATGCACACATGATCCGGGGTTCGATCCCCGGCCACAGATGCACTCCTTTACCTCGTTAAGCCAGTAGTGAGAGTAGTATGGTAAAGTGGAAAGGTTTGCGAGTATGAGGCTAGCAACCCCATCCCATCCTGTAAAAATAAACACCAGTACTGCAGAAACTTCAAGCCTTTATAGCTTGAAATCACCTTGTGTTCCACTGGGAATGTGAAGGAAAAAAATTCATAAGGATTGGATTTGTTTCAATTTTAATCAGGGATTGATATTGACTGGTAGTGTGTTGGTTGCTCTAAAACCACACCATATTTGTTGTTATTCATTTATGTGTTTGTATGAATTTTTGTCCAAGCAGGCAACTAAAACTCTGGTATGTAGCATTTATCATCTTAACACAATGTATACAACACGTCAATTATTTTTTTTTCTTTTTACAATTTAACCAAAAGTCGCCTTCGACAGAATCGATCGAGAGGTGATTTGGAGACTACTTCGCTAGTATGAGGTGCCACCGACAATTATACATCTCATTCAACAGTTATACGACAGTGCTGTATGCCAAGTAATTCACAACGGGAGACTTACGGAAGCCTTCGAAGAAGTGAAGACGAGAGTAAGACAAGGCCGCTCTACCTACTATCTCCAATGATTTTCTTGATTACAGTAGGTTGGATAATGCGACAGACAACGTCCAATGAGGAAATAGGCATAAAATGGACTCACACAAAATACTTGGAGGATCTGGACTTCGCCGATGTGATATATGTCTGATTTCCCACAAACATTGGAAGGTATGCAAGTGAAAAGCAACAAGTTGGAAGAAGAAGCATCCACAGAAGATAGGACTTCCTTCAGGTGAACATAGAGAAAATAGAGGTAGGTGATAAAGATTCCTGGCCAACACCACCAACAACAGACAACAATCAGCCAGCATAAATAGGAGGAACCTGAAAGAAACAACCTCCTCTACCTGCCTACCTGAGAAGCATCGTTTCAGCTACAGGCAGGCAGAACTGACGAGGATATCAAAGCAGAAAGCATTGGAAAAGCAAGACAAGCTTTCATTACTCTTAAGTCTGTGTACAGGTCAATAGCACTCAGCATCAAAAATAAGATCGAGATTTTCAACTCCAATGTGAAGTCAGTCCTACTCCCTATACAGATCAGAGACTTGGCCAGCGCGTCATGAAGAGCACCTTCATTAACTGGTGTCTTCGCTCAATACTCAAGATCAGATGACCAGCCAAAAAGGATCAGAAACAGGGATCTCTGGCAACGAGCAAACCAACCAGAAACCGGTTGTGCAACAAATAAGCAGGAAGAAATGGAGATGGATTAGTGGCCATACTCTGAGGAGACGATCAAATGACATCACTAGACAAGCCATTGCTTGAGTGGAACCAGAAAGGGAAGCGGCGAGTTGGTCGTCGGTGCGAGGGTGACATGGAGGAGGTCATGCAGAGAAGAGAAGATGAAAGCATGTAGGTTTCAGACTTTGAGCCAGGTGAAAACACTAGCAGAGAACCGAATGCAATGGAGACATGCATCTGAAGCCTTATGTTCCTCTAGGAATTAAAGGAAATAATAATAATATAACAACCAAAACTGACACACAGTATTTCTTTCATCTGTTGTTGTTGTTTTTTATTTCTACACTTCAAGATTTATCTGGTACAGGTACTGGTTCAGTGCATATGTTCGAATGGTCAACACCTGTCCCTGTTGTTGCTGGTTTTACAAACACTTTCAGTTTGACAGCTGCTGGTGCATCAGGACAATTTCCGGCGGGTTCTAGAGGTGCTCGTGTCACAGCACTACAATTCGATGATAGTGGATATCGAGTAAGTTATATACAGACATTTCATATTTATCAATTAAGAGAACCATTGAACCATCTAGTAGAGAGTACTGGAATGCTGTTTCGTCCTAGTTCGGATTTCTTCAGCGCAGTACTATCACTCATGACCGACCCCTACCCTCAACGGGAATCGAAGAATTCCATCCCAATGGCTAGGTGAATGGCCAATCAGCTCGCCTTGTCTTGGGGTCTCAACCTCGTGGGCATCGGTGAAGAGTCTCTATCTAGGACGAAACAGCTGTCTAGTACTCCTTGATGGTGATTTTCAATGGTTCTCTAACTGGTGTGTCAGTTGTTATTAGTCGTTTTTAATTCAGTAATTTGGTGGATGGATGGTGACTAGCAGTGAAATCCACCAGAATGCGCATTTCGTCCTATTTGGGACTCGTCAGCTAATGGATGTACCTGCATTCCCCCAGAGTGAGTGATCGTAGTGTTCTCAACCCACCCCACCCCCCGCCACCACCACAGCTGAGACTCGAACCCAGTGCTATTCGTTGAATGATTATAGAACCTGGCGTTCATTTCTGAGGGGAATTAACATAATGACAATAATGAAACATATTAAAGACGATATTTACTTTAAAATGTGATCAGAATGAAATTTCCACATCAATTTGTGCATAGCGTTCATACTGGCTCCGTAATAACGACAGGTTCTGTAACCATTCAACGAATGGTATGCGCTGATCGTCATTAGTGCGTTCGCATCCCATAGGTCGGGATTATTCTTCTTCACATTGGCTCACAACTCAACCTAGGTTGTGGGTCAATAATAGGTCAGTATGATCTGGATCACAATATCTCGCAGTAGGAAAATCATTACTCACTAAAATGTAGGTATACCCGTCTGAAGAATCTCGATTAGGACGAAACGCACTCTCTAGATCTCATCACCAACCACTGACACCAAAAACAACACAAAGTTAGCCTGAACATATGGTTGATTCGTCCATACTAGGAACTGTTTTGTCAATGGAGAGCGAACATTCCTCTCCACTGAAATCAGTCAAGGAGGAGGGGTGGTGAAATTCGAAACAGTTTCACCACATAACAAATGAGTATGTTAAACTGCCTGCCTACATGATGCGATAAATTTTCGGGATTCAAGTGTTGGTTTGCAGGTATTTGATTAGTCTCAGAATTTCATCATGCGGTAGCATTGTTTAGAGAACTATTTGAAAACCAGTAGGGCGTAATGGACAACTGTTTCGTCTTAGTCCTGTGGGACTCTTCATCAGTAAGCACCCACCGCCGAAGTTCGTACCCAAGACCTTCAGGTTTCAAGGCGGGCTCGTAAGCCATTAAGCCACTGTGACCCGACCTGCTATATCCCACTAGTCATGACTTCCCACTAGAGAACCCAGGTAACCACCTACCTGAGTAGGGTCAGTCGCACGCGAGCATCAGATTGATGTTCAGTTGTTGGTTTTGAGAGGATTTGATTTGATTGGTTACAGGATTTCATCATGAGCTTACGAGGTTGCCTTTTAACTCCAAGGTCCTTGGCTCTAACCCCTGTGGTGGGTGGCTACTCCTTCTGAATAGTCCCAAACTAGTCTGACGAAACATCTGTGTCCAGTTCTCCCTGACGGGTTTTCAATGATTCTCTAACCGGTATCAGCTCATGATGAACTTTTTAAGAGTTTACATATCGTGATTGAAAAAAAAACTACTCAGTTCACGATGCTCCGTCGTCTATGTTCCGATAAATGGTTGGCAATGTGTGATGAAAACCACGAGCCAATAAGGATGTGTGTATTGTTCTGATACACAAATAACTCTGACTAATTATTGGCCTTTCATACGCCTTAACAAACTCTTAAAGGTACAATTCAACCAATCATATATTAAGATGAGAGGTTGACCTTGTCCTACCATTGTTAACCAATCACTGAGAAGCTGATGAAATATAAACTTCATGCTAATTGGTTGGTTTTTCACCTAGTTTGATTGAATAAATTGACCGAATTAAATTCGCTATTAACAATTCTGGGGTGAAATTTTTTAATCAGATAACCCCAATATGTGATCTACTTAATCTCATAAATGGGTTTTTTATTTTCTTGAAGGAAGCAAGCACAGATAAATGCGTGACGTTATATACTACTAACTGACTGACATAAGTAGTTGTTCTGGACGAAGAGTATTTTTTTAATAACAATTTCTCCTCTTCAGGTTCTTACAATTATAAAATATAATATTTGTTGTCGTTACAATAATGATAGCCAGTTAGTTATGTAGCGGATACATTTTTTTAACGTAGAATAACAGATTAGTAGTTATGGAGTGTCAAAATAAATAGCTCTTCATGCATATACCATTTCAACTGTCCCTGTAGTTCAAGTTATATAGGGCACATGATTAGGTAGAGGTTCTTCTACGGGTTCGAGAACATTTACCAGGTTGGTTCAGCAGAGGAGTGGGGGGGGGGAATTAAGTGCATAAAAAGGTCGATCCTGTCACACTTGGTCGAGACTACTGGACATCGTATCGATGTCAACACAGCTTTCAGGGTTATATATACCGAATTCCGAAGTCGTTATCACGTACAGTTCGCTTACGTCTCTTACACATAGCTGAAGCTGTTGCAATAAGATCGACTAAACCGGAACTTTGTATTCAAAAAGAACACGTCCAGACGCTGTTCCTACCGTGGTTAAACTTAGATTGATGATTCTTCTCCTTACCAAGAGTGCTTCTTCCCCTTAACCCTCTTGATATTTTTTCTTTCTTTGCTTATTATTACGACTATTATTTGTCATAATGTATGCCCTTCATGCAAACATTCTCTCAATGCTATCGAATTTTCCATTTATACTATCCGGACTTATTAGTAGTGATATTATCTCTTTTTTCAATTCATGCATGCCTCCACCTGTTTCATTTCACATATTCGTTATTTCATGATGCACCTCTCATTGCAGTCTTACTATCTCCTGTTTAAATCAGACGACTTTGTACTAGTCACCCACCTGACACCTTTTATAACCTTGAACTGACTTGTCAATTTTCCTACCCTACAACATTCTACAAATCTATTATGACGACTAATCATCACCATTGTAACCCATTTTACAATATTCTCTAATCGATTTCAGCCTAGCACGACGTTTGTCACACAAATACGACTATTTATTTTGACACCCCATAACTACTAATCTGTTATTTTACGTTAAAAATGTATCCACCGCATAACTAACTTGCTATCATTATTGTAACGACAACGCATATTCTATTTCATAATTGTAAAAACCTGAAGAGGAGAAATTATTGCGAAATGAATATTCTTCGTTCAGATTGACTTTCAATTCATGTGATATGGGAATATTTCATACCATTTAATCTTATAAGAAGTTGTGTATACCAGGCATGTCAAGCAGTAGTGTTTAATAGTCAAAAAGATCGGACAACCGGTCTGCTCGATTTAGGGATTGGATTCATCCATCAGCCAGTGATGTACCAGGTTCAACTGAGCTCAAAGAGAGTTGAATCTGTGTTCATACTACCCAACACACATTGTGACAAATACAATATCCAGAATATATACTACATTGAATCAATTGCATGCAAATAATTGCTCCATTATGGATAAGATTTTATTTTGATAAATCACACAGTGTTGTGTTATACAGTAATATTAACTGATGCGACCACGTTTCGAGCACAAATTATTGCCACTCATAATCATATCAAACTGCTCATTCACACAACTTTTTCCTTTCATTTATATACATGCGTGGAATTGATGATTAGACATTTGAATAGAAATCAATATGGGATAATGTACATTCAGACTAGTACTAGTCAAACTAGTAGGTCTGGGGTAATCAGATTGGCAGAACATAAGAATTTAGTGGCTAAGGTAAAAATGGTTGACCCCGAGAAGATAAGTAATTTAGAAGAAAGCTCAGCAATTGCACTGCATGCATCAGCACACAATCACACAATGGGGTGGTGGGAGAGGGTCAAAATTCTAAGAAGTAATCTATGTAGGTGGAGATAGAAACAGATTGATTACAGAATCCTGTCTAGTTCATCGAGTCTACACCCAACACATGCAACGGAAATGACTCAACGCAAATACCAGAGATACGTATGGAAGATATTATTACCACCAGTCAGTCAGTCAGTCAGTCAAATCACAGGAGGATAATAAATAATCTCAAAATTCTATTTCAATTCAAGCACATCCCAACATTCTAACAAGTCACTTATTATGACTAAAAGAAACACTCGTCTTATTTCCAATCTGATTGTAATTCATCAATAACAATTTTTAATAATAATAATAACAGCTTTATTCCAAACAGTATTTGTGGTACAGGTATGGAATTTTCAGCATGCATTACAGTATATTGCATCTAATTACCTCATAAATTATATAAGATATTTTAAAAATCAAAGATAAATAAATAAAAAAAATAAAATAAATAAGTTATAAATAAATAAATATTAAAAATTAAGAAAAAAAACAGCGTAGAGTATTTCATTTCAAACAATGCACCACAGGATTTGAAACATTATTATATTATTATTATTCCTGAATGTACATTATCCCATATTGATTTCTATTCAAATGTCTAATCATCAATTCCACGCATGTATATAAATGAAAGGAAAAAGTTGTGTGAATGAGCAGTTTGATATGATTATGAGTGGCAATAATTTGTGCTCGAAACGTGGTCGCATCAGTTAATATTACTGTATAACACAACACTGTGTGATTTATCAAAATAAAAACTTATCCATAATGGAGTTATGCTCGCTCTACCAGCACAGTGCCCAAGTTTTATACTTATATGAATAATGCAAGTAATTGATTTATAGTGTTCTTAGTGAATAAACAGCTCAAATAGAGCATTCATATTCTCAAGTAATATTTCCTTTGCCATTATTTGTCTTTACTCTTGTATTTACTTCTCCCTTCTTTTTCTTTACCAACAAGTTTGGTTGTGGTGATGCTGAAGGGAATTTTGGTCTATGGAATTTATATTCAACTATGCCAGGGAAATTGCCATACTTTGTAAGTTTTAATGCGTTTGTGCTCATAGTTTTCATGCGTATGTGTGTGTGTATGTATGTATGTATGTATGTGTGATTCAATCAGTTTTGTGCTATGAATGGTTTAATCTTTGTGTGTAGTTTAGTGCCAGTGAGATTATTCGAACTGTAAACACACTAGTGCGTCGGTGGCACAGTGGTTAGGACTCTTGACGACCATGCACATGGTCCGGGGTTCGAGCCCACACCGGCGCACACCAGATATCTATGGTCGGCCTGCGAAATTTGGGCTACCGATATCCACGCTGAAAATTCCATACTTGTACCAAAAATACAGTGTGGAATCAAGCTGTTACCAAAAATAAAAAATAAATAAAAATAAAATAAATAGTGCGTGTTTACAGGAGACCCATACATTCAAACAGATACTTGGACTTCAGATCATCTCATCCTATGTCAGTAAAATAGGATTGCTGAAATGTTTTGCGTGATGACAGAGCACAAAACTAAGTAGTACCACGGAAAATCTAAGACAAGAAGTGATACACATAAAAGAAGCCTTGAAACTTAATAATTGCCATGGTATATTAGTCAGGAAATATGTAAGGAAATCTAAAAATAAAATAAATAATGATAATAGTGATAATGATATTGATAGTATCAATGACGACATGCATGTCAAATATGCGCAAGACAACACCAACAATAAAGAATCTAAATCATCAGTAGTAATTCCATACAAGGAAGGAACCTCGGAAACCACCTTACGCAGAATTCTTAACAAGGCAGGCAGGAATAAAAGTGGTCGGCATTCAAGCCACCCACAAAAACTCAATTAGATACATGCTTTGTCGGTTAAAGGATCCTGCCAGTGGAGCCTTTAAAACAAAACAATGTAGTTTATCGAATACCCCGGCTGCAATGATTGTCAGCTCAAATACATACGGTGAAACTAGTAGAACAGGGACAGTCAGACTAGCCGAACATAAAAACATTAAAAAAAACATAAAAGTGGGGAAGTTCTGTTGAAGCCTTATGTTCCATTTGGAACCCAGTGGGTCTGACGAATACATCATCCTGACAACTAAATAGTGATCTTGGTTTCAGAAAATATACTAACTGACAGTCCTCGATCTGATTAAAATGCCCATTAAAATTTTCAAAAAAAATGGATACTGAAAAAAGAATACTCTTTTCTATAACCCCTTCATCATCAGGCTCTACAGTTATATATACACGTTATAGTGAATGAATGAATTAGTGTTGTGAACAACAACAATGTTGCTGTTTAAATAACATCGAATCAATAATACTGATAGATTACAGCTCAATGACAGCATCAACATAAAATAATAAGCTGAATGTTAGAGAAAATTAGGAAAGATAATATTACAAATTCATGAATTTATAGTCTCTCCTGAAGGCTGACCAGGGCAGTAGTAGGGGCTGGCTGAACTTGCTTCTTTTGGACACAAAGCGATAGCCTCTGCTGTTTTGCGCATGCGGTACTTCGATGTTTTTGGCAACTTATTTTGTACCCGGTAGATGATAGAGAAGAATTCTTCAATAATGGCTTTATGGCTGGTTTGGACCAGATAATATAATATCGAACTGTTGTTGGATTTTACTACCTCTTTACTTAGCCATAATACTTGGAGACCTTCTGGAGCACAAAAAATCAAGTTCATAGAGTAACGGCGATCTATCAATTCCTCGCAAATAGTTCAATTTCATCATAATCAATATATAAGTTTTGCAGGCTGTACTGATGATGATGTCTAGTGTGACAGTGAAACGTTTCCCCTTGTTTATCCTTCGTCTTTTCTTTCTTTCTGCTTTCAGCGTTGTCGTTGCCATGCTAAAGGTTTAGCTGATTTCTGTTTCTTAGGCTGTAGCAGTCTGATAGCTACAGTCGGTAATGGTGGTATATCTACAGCATCGTTTACAAGTAGTGGACTTGTTGAAAGCACTGGTTCCAGTGGTGGTGGTGGTGGTACTGGGGGTATAGCACAATTCACTTCTTCTTCTTCTGGAAGTGGTAGCAGCAGTTATTCTTCTGGTGGTGGTGGTGGGAATATCAGTTTAGATCAAGATGCTTCTCATTTGACGCTATGGGATACATTGTTGCCAGTCAATCGATGTGGTGTTATTCGTAAGTATATATTATTATTATTATTTTAACAGTAATCTAAGGATTACTGGGTTCCACCGACCTCTGAAGATTAGCGACTATGGATGGTGAACGCATATGCTGTTGTTACAGTGCCAGTATGAATGCTGTGCACGATTTTAGGTGTCAATTTTGATCGTGATCTCGTTTGTAATTACTGTTTGGACAATGGGGTGGGGTGAGGCGAGAGCACGTTGGGGCTAGGATTAGTATTAGCGTTAAGGTTATGGTTAGGACTAGGGTCTTTTATTATTAATATATGTGTAAAACTTGGGCACTGTGGTAGTAAGTAATTCCATATTAGTCTGTTTATTAGATGTATCACACAGTCACAGAAACCGTATTATTTACGGGATGACGTTTTGAACAAAATTTATTGTTCATAATCGTATCATCAAATATAATCACACGACTTCGAAACTTGAGTTTTATAGTTTTCTTTGTTCTCTCCTCCTATTTGTTGTCGTTGGGGTAGTAGAATTTTCCAGATCCTGTGGAGCCTTTAAAACAAAACAATTTAGTTTATCGAATATCCTGCCTGCTGGAATGATTGTCAGGTCAAATACATAGATGGGTCAAACTAGTAGAACAGAGGCAGTCAGACTAGCCGAACATAAAAGCCAAGCAGCTAAATCTAGATTGATTGACCCGAATAAGATAAGAAATCTAGAGAATAGTTCAGCTATAGTACTACACTACATGCAGTTACACACAGCAGTTCGCTCCGTCCTTCTCTATGGCTCTGAAACATGGCCAATACGCGTTGAAGACATGAAAAGGTTGACTGCTTTCGATCATAGATGTCTGCGATCTCTTTCTCACGTTAGGTGGTGGTATAATAAGGTAAGTAATGTTGACGTTAGGCGTAGAGTGTTGGGCAAACAGGGAAAATCAATCGACGAGGCTATAACATTACATAGATTCAGATGGCTAGGTCACGTGCTACGCATGCTTAACCACCGCCTCCCCCGACGGGCACTACTAGCTGATATAGCTGCAGGTTGAAAAAGAGTAAGTGGTGGCCAAACAAAAACATGGCCTCATCAATCCATGAAATCCTTGACAGTTAAACTGAGTCAGTCAGGTAGGGAGATGCAGACTTCCGGGTTGGGGCCCTCGGGACTGACTCTAGGAATCAATGGCTGGAGACAATAGGTGACATGGCTCAAAATCGTTGTCAATGGCCAGCGAAGATGTATTCAGTCTCTGTAATCTTTCATATTCCTTTCTACCATTACCCATTCTGTTTCACTCTTATACTTGTCAGACTGTATTGACTCTCTTCACTCATCTTCTTGTCTACCTTTGTGTGCTATTTGGAACATGGCAACTCGAACTGCTGCACTTTGGTGCCAAGTTCTATGTTGAATCCAGACAGACACACAACCCTACAATAGGCTGAATGGGAGAGGATGACGGTTTTAAAATCTAATGTCACAGGGTGGAGGGAGGGAGAAACTGATGACAGAAGCTTTGTTTATCTAATCAGCTGCCTGAGAATACATTTAATAGGAATGATTTAACACCTGTCCACACAGATATCTGAAAAATTCTACTACCCCAACGACGACAAATAGGAGAAGATAAAGAAAACTATAAAAATCAAGTTTCAAAGTCGTGTGATTACAATTGAGTCATTTATTGTTGTCTCTATTTTTCTTCGAAATATAATAGGAGAGGGTTTCATTGTTCAGGCAGATGTGAGACCATTTTGTGATAGCTATGAAACTTGAAAACTGCTGCCTTTCATTGTAATTGGGAAGTATTTTTTTTCAGTTACGCATTAGGGTAAAATATCATCTTTAATATGCTCCATGATTATCAGTATGTTATGTTTTTTCCTCAAAAATAAACGGCTTCTTGATGTAGAAAACACGGTAGGTTCTGTAGTCATCGAAATAATGATATGCATTCAAGGTCACCGGTAATTTCGCACTCCGTGGTCATTATTCTCTATAATAATAATAGTATCTATGTGAACATATATGTATAAATGCAGTTGTACAGCTACTTTTGAGAATGAAATCGACGTAAAGATAGATAGTTATCTTTTCTGAACTTCTCGTTCTTTTCTGATCACTTTCAATTCATGAAGTTACAAAGACTGAGATGGTTAGGACATGTGTTACGTATGCCAAGCCATCGCCTCCCTCAACTAGCAATGTTAGCGGATATAGGGTCAGGCTGGAAAAAAGCTAGCGGAGGTCAAACAAAAACATGGCCTCACCAGTCAATGAAATCCACAACAGTTGGTCTAAGCCATGTAGGAAGGTGTAGACTTCCTAACTGGTTGGGGTCCTCGGAACGGTAAAAATCAATGGTTGGAAACAATTGGTGACATGGCTCAAAATCGTTCTCAGTGGCGCAGATGCATCCACTCCTTGTGACTTATGATCTCCAATGAAACTGTTTTGTCCTTCGTTGTTACTCCTTTGTCTCACACCTCTGTTTACTGTTTCTATTATGCATTTCTTCTACTTTCTTCTGTTGTTTGTGTGCTACATGGAGTGAGGCGACTTGAACTAGTGCACATCATTGCAGTGTTCTATATCGAAAACAGACAGACTTTCAATTCATCCTTCTACTTCGAATACATTATTTGACTGTGATTTGTCTAGGTACGCTGGATTTTGAGTCTCTCTCAAATGGGGAACACCTAGTGCTTACTCCCTCTACTGAGATTTAGGCAATTAGGTTTGGATAGGAATACAAGCCGTGGTTGGAATAGTAGCATTTTATATCTCCTTTAAAATAGAATTTATGCCTATACTCTTTCTGTTGCGCACATGTATTTATTGATTGATTTATTGATTCTAAAGGTGTTCTTGATCCTGAATTGGATGCCCCGTGCACATCAATAGCCTATTGTGGTGCATTTTCACAAGTGAATCGTTGGCCACACAGTACCAGTAGTAGTGGCCTTTATAATAATACTGCCGAAACTTCGACGTCTTCGTCGTCTACAAAACGTCTTTACACTAGTGACCGGACTGTAATTGTTGGCAATAAAAATGGTGATGTCTGTATTGTTGATTTAAGACGACCAAAAGTATTGCATAAGTTTTCAGCGCATGAATCAGCTGTACGCACACTGTGTATTGATACTATGACAGATTGTCTAATGACTGGAGGAGCTGATGGAATTGTTAAAGTAAGGTTTATTGGTTGTTGTTTTTTTTTTATTTTGAAGTATCGTTGTCTTTTCGTTGAATTTTATTGTTGTTGTTTTTTCGTCATTTTCAGCGAGCCAGCGAACCTTCAATAATCCATAATGATGATTGACACCCATATGGATATTAAAAAAGAAGAGAACACGAAGTTCAGCAACGTTTCTAGTGTGACGTTGAAGAGTTTTTGAATTAGGATATATATATGATGTCTACGCAGCGCTTTCCAGAACGAAACACGAGAGAGTCAGGCAGGCTTTAGACCAGGAAGAGAGTGTATTGAACATATCTTCACCCTTCGACAGATTCTAGAGCATACGCATTCCTACCGGCGTCTAACAATCATAATATTTCTTGACCTAAAGGCGGAATTCGATTCTGTCGACCGAGAGCTTCTCTGGCGATGCTTGGCGGTAAAGAGAATGACGAGAAAATACATCGCACTGTTTAAGGCACTCTACTTGTACTCATGCAGCCCAGCCAGGTGAGGGCTTACGGCGAGTTGTCATCTGAACTGGTGACGACTAGTGATGTCTGTCAAGGATGCCCATTATCCCCTTTTCTATTCAACTTCATCATAGATGTACTAATGGACGTAATCCTAAGTGACTTCAGTGACTCAGGGATTGACTTGCTACTAGGGAATAATCTCGTTGACTTCGAATATACAGACGATATAGTCCTTCTAGGCGAAGACTCTGACAAAATGCAGAATCTTCTAAACACCTTGACCTGCAATCTACGAATGTTTGGCATGCGATTCGCTCCCTCTGTGAAATGTAAGATGATGTTACAGGACTGGACTACACCGACTCCTAGATTAGAAATAGGAAGTGAAGTGGTTGGTGGAGTGTGTTGACCGCTTCACTTACTTGGGAATTACCATCAGCCAATGCCAACGGGTTGATCTCTGACGAAATCTCAGCAGGGATACAGAGGGCTAGTTTCACATATGCCAGTCTACGCCGTCTCTGGAGTAGACGTGATATCCGGCTGGCTATCGACCAAAGGACTGGTGTACTGCTCATCAGTCCGCTCCATCCTCCTTTACGGCTGTGAGACCTAGCCATTGAGAGTGGAAGACATGAAAAGGCCGGCTAACTGTCTTTGATCATAGGTGCCTGCGTTCTATCTCCCGTGTGATATGGTGGTATAATAAGGTGAGCAATATTGAGGTTAGGCATAAGTCGAGTGCTAGGTAAACAGGGGAAATCAATCGACGAAGTTGTGAAGTTACAAAGACTGAGATGGTTAGGACATGTGTTACGTATGCCTAGTCATTGCCTTCCTCGACAATGGGCAATGTTAGCTGATGTAGGGTCAGGCTGGAAAAGAGCTAGTGGCGGTCAAACCAAAACACGGCACCAGTCAATGAAATCTACAACAGCTAGTCTAAGCCATGTACGAAGGTGTAGACTTCCTGATTGGTTGGGGTCCTCAGGACGGTAAAAATCAATGGTTGGAAACAGTTGGTGATATGACTGGCTCAAAATCGTTTTCAATGGCTAGCGCAGATGCATCCACTCCTTGTGACTTATGATTTCCAATGAAACTATATTGTTCTTCTTTATTACTATTCCTTTGTCTCACACCTCTGTTTACTGTCTCTGCTATGCTTTTCTTCTACTTTCTTCTGTTGCTTTTTGTGCTACATGGAGGGAGTGAGGCGACTTGAACTAGTGCACATCATTGCAGTGTTCTATGTCGAAAACAGACAGACAGACAGCTTTTCAGAACTATTTTGGATATTGACGATTGTTAATACAGCTCTCGAAAAATTCCAATTTCGCATTAACTTTGGCAAGTTTGACAGAGTAACATAGAAACCCCTTGAGTTCCTTCACTGTCGAAGGGTCCTTGCCTTTTCTCAGATCGTGGAAAACGCCCATATGAACATTAGAAAGAAGAGAACACGAATATTCATATGGATGTTTTCCACGATCTGAAAAAGGGCAAGGACTCTTCGACAGTGAAGGAACTCAAGGTGTTTCTGCGTTACTCTGTTAAACTTGCCAAAGTTAATGCAAAATTGGAATTTTTCGAAAGCTGTATTAACAATCATGAGTATCCAAAATGGTTCTGGAAAGCGCTGCGTAGACATCATATATATCCTAATTCAAAAACTCTTCAACGTCACACTAGAAACGTTGCTGAAATTCGTGTTCTCTTTTTTCTAATGATAATTAACCTGATATAAATGTAAATTTGACAACAAATTGATATCAGTTAGAGAGGCATTGAAAACCACCAAGGAGAAAGTACTAGACAGCTGTTTCGTCCTAACTCGAGACTCTTCAGAACAGTTACAAAGGATTGAGGAACATTTAGTCGGGTCTCAAGTGGCTTAATGGTCGGGGAGCTCACCTCATACCAGGAAGGTCTTAGGTTCGTACTACCGATGACTCCCACACTAGGCTGACGAAACAGCTGTCCAGTACTCTCTCATTGGCGGCTTCCAATGGCTTCTCAAACTGATGTCGATCTGTGTGTATGGATGAAACTTGAAAACAAATTAAATCCCTACAAACCAACTCTTGTCAAAAAAAAAAGCTTAAATGTAAACGTGAACTTAACATGTGATGAATTTTAATTCACATTTGGAATTGGGGTGTTTAAGTCTCTTTGTAAGATACGGATATATCCAATCGTTGAGTTTCAAATGAAGCGAAATACGTTCCCCCCACCCCAGCTTAGTTTCTATTATCAGCTATATCAATAAGCCTGGCTTCTGAGTGGTGGAACACATAGGGGGCTCCAAGTTTTCAACATGAGAAAATCATGATACTGGGTTGCAAGGTATATAAATGCTGCTCTCAAAATCTACTCCCGAAATTTTTATAATTCACTTCTCACTCAAATGTCATGCATTTCTCAAAGGAGACAAAGAATAAAGGCCACATAAGGGAGAAATCAGTTTTCACTTCAGCTGAGACAGGGTGTTGAGAGTCACTGTCAACTAATATTTACGGGATTTCATCATGAACTGACATTGGTTAGGGGATCATTGGAAAACCTGTCAGGGAGTACTGGACAGCTGTTTCGTCGTTGGCCTTGTTTGAGACTCCTCATCAGTACGCATGCACTGAGGTTCTAGCCTAGTAGGGCCTTCTGGTTTCAAGTCCATTGGGACCCAATCCAATGGTCCTTGAAGAATTCCGACTTCTGTCAGTACATGATATAGCGCAACCATTAGTCAATGTCATCCGACCTGATAAAGAGTCCCGAATGAGGACAAAACAGCTTTCCAGTGCTCTGTTATGTACTCGTCGCTAAATTATTGCTATGTACTGGTCGAGAATTTAATAGTCCTGATGCAAGAAAGACGGAAATCAGAAGACCACTAGGTTTGCGATGATACTTCTATTGTCCAAACACAAGGAGAAGCAATAAGTGGTATCACACCAGAGTAAGTAGTCACAAGATTGTGAGAACAAAATATATATATGAATGTTCAGACAAGGGTGTGAACAATCAATAGACAGTCTTAACATGAATGGCTAATTATAATGAAGTATCAATCCATATATACATAGCAAAATATAGCAGACATGTCAACAACAACCATATATGGATATATGTCACTAAGCAACGGACTGTCAATAAACACTCATATTATATTATATATAATATAAGGAGAATATACATTGATAAAGGAGACAAGTTCATGCAAGTGAAATGGTCACAGACTAAGAGAGCAAACAGAAAGAGAGACCGACATACACATATATATATATATATATATATATATATATATATATAAATGGATACATATCATACTCCCTGGTAGGTTTTTTTTCAATGGGCCTCTAATCGATGTCAGTTCATGATGAAATCGTAAAACTAATCAAATCTCTGTAAAGCAACATTTGAATTAATATTTTATTTGAAGGTCTTGAAAGTTCTGTACATTTTATGAACACTGTTCAAAATATAAAGCTATCATTATTATTGTTGTTTTTGGTGCACTCCGTGCCTTTTCTCCAAAGTTTAATCTTACCATTAGATTCTGCATTTTAATACACTCACAAAATCTTCGATCTTTTGATAAGTCAACTGTGCACTTATAGATACAGGAGATGATACGTAGACGATACCGTTCACACCAATCAATAAAATTCACCTTAGAATGTGAATCGAATATGACATTTCCATTCCCTAAGCAGAAGACAAGACTGTACGATCCAAAGATCTAGATATATCGCAAGCCAGCATGGACGGGACAGTTTATCAACTTCCAGGGCGGCTTCGTCCCATTGATCTGAAAACAAAACCTGATACGTACATTAAGTTGAAGGATTCGAAAGACATGATAGAGAAAGAATTAAATTTATTACGTAGGTATCCACCAAAAGTCATAGACAGAAACATGAAAGAGAAGCCTAAGTCGTCGAACATCACAACTGTTCCTAAGAAAACTGTCTTCATGGGCCTGGAATTCAAAGATGAGATGACATCGCAGCGGAAACGCTCAGAAACCGCCTTTCTAAATGTCTGAAGAAGACATTTCCAACAGCCTACTTACATATCATATTCTCCAGCAGACAATTAATCCAGTCTAACGTTAAGGATAAGATACCACCGCTTTTGGCCGCTTCAATGTGTATTTATCAATTTACTTGCTCGTATGGAGCAAAGTATATCGGCTGTACCCAACGTCAGGTTCACAAACGTATTATGGAACATTGTCCAGCTTAGTTAGCCAGCCAGAGGAGAAAAGAAGAATAGTATCGACTCTATCCTCGAACACCTTGTTATCTCCGGACATCGACCATTCCCGCATAAATGCTTCACAGTACTACACAGAGTCCCTCAATGTCGTACAAAGGGACTTCGTATACGCTATCTGTACATAGCTGAAGCATTGCCTATTCGAGATCTGAAGCGACACGTAGATTCACTCGCCCTACCGTGACCAGAGTAATGTTATTACTACTATTATTTTATTATCATTATTATTCCCATGATCCACATTTTATTACCACTCTATTAGTGTTTATTAATAACATTGCTTCTTCATACAGATTTTATTCAAAAACATTTTATCGCCTTTCCACTAGTTCCTATCCATTCTACACGAGCTTATTGATTAGTCATTATCTCACACTTATTACGTCATGCCAACGTCATGTCATTCTGTCTCTTTTCTAACTTACAATTAGTCATCCCTTCTTACACCTTACATTATGTAATACAATTTTTCACAGACAAATTTTACCAGTAACTGATTGGTTTAAAGATTTATTTGTTTAATAGAATTACGATTGTACAGCAGTTCATGAAAATGAATCGTCGAAAAAAAATTGCATGGAGGATTTCATCACGAGCTAACATCAGTTAAAGAACCACTAGAAAACCTGGGAGTACTGGTTGAAGATGAGGCAGTAACTCACTCATCGAAGAAGACATTGCGAAATGGTCGCGCTATGTCGTGAATTGACAGAAGTTAGAACTCATGGGCTAGCCATTGGATCGGGTCCCAGTGGCTCAATGGTCTACGAGCTAGCTCGCCTTGTAACCAGAAGGTCCTGGGTTCGAAGCCTGGCGGTGGGTGCGTACTCCTGAAGAGTCCCAAAGTAGGCTGACGAAACAGCTGTCCAGTACTCCTTGCAGGATTTCCAGTGATTCTCTAACTTATGTCAGCTCATAATGAAATCCTCCATGCAATCAGACAAAATCCCTACAAAACCAATACTTGGAAAAGAAAATTCCCTTCTTTTTGATGTGGTTGTGTTCTCTGAGCTGGATAGTTGATTTGCGAAGCTTTCATCACCCTACTAGGTGACATCTTCAGCGCCCATACTTCAATTTATTGAAGTGAGCCTTTAGATTTCCCCACGAGTTTATCAATCATTTCTCTTGGTCGGTGACCTTGGACGTGAATGGTTGTTTGTGTGTGTTTTCACACCTTCTAGGTTGCTTGTATTGGAACTGAATGTTTTATGGACTTGAAATTTGACCCTTTGTGTATGAGGTTTCTTTCTTATCGGTTGATAAATTTTGTCTACTTCGATGTGTCTATTGATTAATGATTCACTGGAATACCAGGTAAGCTTCTAAAAATTCTCTAGCTTTCTTGGAGTTGTTTCCTCTGTCTAATATTTGAACGTTGTCCCAGTCGAATTGATGTCCGTACGGACAACAACAAGAATGCTAGAGAATTTTTAGAAGCCTATCTGGCATTCCAGTGAATCATCAATCAATAGACACATCAAGATACACAAAATTTATCAACCGATAAAAAAGAAACCTCACACACACGCACAAACGGTCAAAGTTCAAGTCAAAGAAACAATCAGTTCCAATACAAGTAGCAGCCTAGAAGGTGTGAAAACACACAAAAACAACCAATCACGTCCAAGGTCACCGACCAAGAGAAATGATTGACCGAAAGCTGCTACCTTGACGTGGTGGTCGGGCTTGAACACCGCAATGATCTATTCAAGCTATACTGGCTGAGACTTATGTCTCGTGAGGTCCTACCATGCCAGGCAGGTTGTTTGGATAGCGGTTAAGACAAAAAGCAGCTACCCAATCCAACATCATGTCCAATACAAAATCACAAAATTTCATGCCGGATCGGCCGTGGCCCGGATTAACAACGACCGCGCTTCCTGCTGCCGTGTCACAGGGCAGGAGTGATAAGTATGCTACTGAGGCACACCAAACAAAAAAGAACAAACAAAAACAGGCCGCGTGTGACCGGCCTCAAGCAGTTGTCCCCTGGGCTCTGCGGTCACGCAACCAACTTCCACGGTGTGGGCAGCCGGGAAGTAACAAACGCCCTCACAATCCGAAATGCACACAAAACCTCTCTAATCCTCACTTATCTTTGTCTTCATCTTCATCTCTATTACCTTGCCTTCCTTCCACTAATGCAACTCCTCGGCTTGATAGCTCCTCACTTCCTCTCCACTCTGCATCCACTAAAAACGATGGAAGCCAAAAAACCACCACCGACAGCCTCCTAAAGCCACGCCACCAATTTCATATAGGAGCAGTAATTTGAAACGAGGCAATGCGGCAGGACCCGACGGAATTATTCCGGAGGTGTTTAAATATGGGGGTGACATACTAGTTTGTAGATTAACTGAGGTACTAGGCAAAGTCTGGGAATCAGAGACAGTACCATCAGACTGGGGTAAGTCACTTATTATACCGATATTCAAGAAGAGAAACAAGTCCTCGTGTGATAATCATAGGGGGATCAGCCTAACGAACATAATCTCTAAAATCCTAGGCTCAGTAATCATGCATAGACTAAGCAGAACTCGGGAGGAACAAACGAGGGAAAATCAAGCAGGCTTTAGACCAGGTAGAGGGTGCATAGATCATATCTTCACTCTTCGACAGATTCTAGAACATAGACACACTTTTCGGCGTCCAACAATTGCCATATTTCTTGACTTGAAGGCGGCCTTCGACTCCGTGGATCGAAAGGTACTATGGCAATGTCTGACTATGAAGGGAGTGCCAAGAAAGTACATTGCGCTAATCAAGGCACTCTATTCAAACTCATATAGGCGTATAAGGGCTTATGGGGAATTGTCATCTGAATTGGTAACAACCAGTGGTGTCCGACAGGGATGTCCACTTTCCCCATTTCTGTTTAACTTCATCATAGATATGCTAATGGAAGTATCCTTAACTGAACGTAATGACTTAGGAATCGACTTGTTACCAGGGAATAATCTTATGGACTTAGAATATGCAGATGACATAGTCCTGTTAGGGGAGGATTCTGAAAAAATGCAGAGTCTTCTGAACACCTTGAGCAGCAATCTTCGTATGTTTGGCATGCGATTCGCCCCTACAAAATGTAAGATGCTGCTACAGGACTGGACCCCGTCAACCCCTAACTTAGTGATACGGAGTGAAGTGATAGAACATGTTGACCACTTCACCTATTTGGGAAGTTGTATTAGCACCAACGGACTGATTGGCGATGAAATCTCAGCACGGATCCGAAAAGCTCGAGCTGCTTTCGCTGACTTACACCATCTCTGGCGTAGGCGTGACATCCGGTTATCAACCAAGGGACGTGTGTACTGCTCATCAGTTCGCTCCGTCCTTCTCTATGGCTCTGAAACATGGCCAATACGCGTTGAAGACATGAAAAGGTTGACTGCTTTCGATCATAGATGTCTGCGATCTCTTTCTCACGTTAGGTGGTGTAATAAGGTAAGTAATGTTGACGTTAGGCGTAGAGTGTTGGGCAAAGAGGGAAAATCAATCGACGAGGCTATAAAGTTACATAGACTAAGATGGCTAGGTCACGTGCTGCGCATGCCTAACCATCGCCTCCCCCGACGGGCTTTGCTAGCTGATATAGGTGCAGGTTGGAAAAGAGCCAGTGGTGGCCAAACAAAAACATGGCTATCAATCCATGAAATCCTTGACAGTTAAACTGAGTCAGGTAGGGAGATGCAGACTCCCGGGTTGGGGCCCTCGGGACTCTAGGAATCAATGGCTGGAGACAATAGGTGACATGGCTCAAAATCGTTGTCAATGGCGCAGATGTATTCAGTCTCTGTAATCTTTCATATTCCTTTCTACAATTACCCATTCTGTTTCACTCTTATATTTGTCAAACTCTATTGATTCTCTTCACTCATCTTCTTGTCTACCTTGTGTGCTATTTGGAAGGTGGCAACTCGAACTGGTGCACTTCGGTGCCAAGTTCTGTGTTGAATCCAGACAGACAGACAGAATGATTGATAAACTCGTGGGGAAATCTAAAGGCTCACTTCAATAAATTGAAGTATGGGCGCTGAAGATGTCACCTAGTAGGGTGATGAAAGCTTCGCAAATCAACTATCCAGCTCAGAGAACACAATCACATCAAAATCATCCACCTCAGCTACAAATCTTCTCTATCATATCTAAAATTCCCTTTGCTGTTTACGCCTTTTTTCTGTTATCACAAGTAAAACTTTCATTTCGCTTTCTTCTCTTTTTCCTCTGTCTAGATATGGAGATTATCTGAACAAGAGCTGATTACCAGTTTCTGTGGTGATTTAAATCCCACACGTGGTGCTGCAGTTGTCGCTGCTGCTGCCTTATTCCGTGGGAATCAGTCGGCGGCGATTATTGCTGCTACAAATCCAGGCATATCAGATATACGTCTGTTGCCGACAGTAACAGGTGCATCATTGCTACAACGTCATCATTCGTCGAACAACACAATCACTGCAACAACTGCCAGCAGCAGCAGTAACAATAATCCTTTCATAAAAGAATATGATCCATCTATTGTGGATCTAACTGATTCAACTGGTGGTCATCAGAATCAAAAACACTCGATAACTGCTGCATCGATAGCCTGTCGATTCTTAAGCTGTGGAGCTGACGGTGGTCTACGTATGCGTTCATTGGTTGTTCGTCCAAAACCTTATATGGTGTATTAAATAAAAAAATGCCAATGCAGTGCGTAGAAAACTAGACAGACAGGAAGGATTTCAGTAGTATAGTGTGCGACAGACAGAAAACAATAACACAAGCATAATATAATATCCACATATATATACTTCTTTATTTATTTATTTATTCGTTTATTCATTTGTCTGTCTATCTCAATTTCCCCTCAAATTTTAATAATGTGATAGGAAAACTTTTTATCAGCAAACATTCCATATACTACTTAAATACTTATTTATATACACAGCGCTATTACTTATTATTATTATGTTCGATATGCATTATGTGATTCTAAAATACACACACACACACACATACATAATATATATCTATTCACATACATATTCCACTTTCACTGTTGTGTTTCTTTCGCATATTTTTCTCTTCCTGTGCGTATTTGTGTGTTCTATCTAATTCTATCAAATCAACTTGATTATTATTACCTTTAATTCCTAGGGGAACATAGGGCTTCAGTCGCGCGTCTCCATTGCATTCGGTTCTCTGCTAACGTTTTCACCTGACTCCAAGTCTGCCCACATGCCTTCGTCTCCTCTTCTCTGCATGACCTCCTCCATGTCACCCTCGCACTGACGACCAACTTGCCGCTTCCCTCCCTCGGGTTCCACTCGAGAGCTTGTCTAGTCGCTCCCAGAGATCCCTATTGCTGATCTTTTCTCGCCAGCCATCTGATCTTGAGTATTGAGCGAAGACAGCTGTTGACTGGTGAAGATCTGTAGTCTGTTTGAGGTGCTCTTTATGACGCCCTGGCCAAGTCTTTGATCCGTTGAGTAAGTAGCGCTGACTTTACATTGGAGTTGAAAATCCGGATCTTATTTTTCATGCTGAGTAGTGCTGTTCACCTACACACAGACTTGAGAGTAATGGAAGCTTGTCTTGGTTTCCCGATCCTTGCTTTGATATCCTCATCAATTCCGTGCGCTTGTAGTTGAAACGATGCTTCCCAGCTTGGCAAAGTAAAGGAGGTTGTTTCTTCCAGGTTCCTCCAATTTATGCTGATTGTTGTCTGTTGTTGGTGTTGTTGGCCGGGAATCTTCATCACCTCTGTTTTCTCTATGTTCACCTGAAGGAAGTCCTGTCGTCGATGCTTCTTGTGCCAACTTGTTGCTTTTCACTTGCATATCTTCCAGTTTGTGGGAAATCAAACATATATCATCAGCGAAGTCCAGGTTCTCCAAGTTTTTTGGGTGGGTGAATACGCATATTTATTGATGAATATATTTCATCTTCTAATTAACTAACTCTAATCTCTGTCAGGCATAAATTTCATCCGGAGAAAGAAGCATTCACTATCATCGTCTGTATCGTAGTATAGTACACTATCGAAGGACAGGAACACGATTTCAGCAAGCAAATAGGTGTGTGTTTTCAGTAATTTCTCCTCATCAAGCAGTACAGTTATCCGGTGTTACGGAGAGGGATAACTATTCTAGGTTGGTGGTTTGTGAGCCATGGGAGGGAAAGGGATTGAACAAACCTCCTGTAAATACAAAAGATTGGGTTGAAGGTATTTTATGGCAACTGCCTCAGCTCTATGCTTAACAATTGAAGGTGTGCAAAGTTAAAGAACTGACGTGGCACCTTGCATAAAAGTGTAAAGGAGAAATTCTTTATCCGTCTTATGCTCCGTATCCAGAAGTTCTGACGACTCCTTTACCTGACCAAATGAGACATTGAGAGGGAAAGGAATTGAACAAACTTTTTCTAAACACAAAGAGTGGGCAGAAAATCTTCTATAGGGAATACTTCAGCTGTGCTTAGCAAATGAAGGTATACATGTTGAGGTTGGACCTTGTATACAGAGTTGTAAAGACTGAATATTGATGACTCTTGTGCTCCGTATCCACCAGGTTGCCCAATATGGTACTCTTAATTGCCTTTACGACTCGTTTACCTAACCACGTAGGACAATGCTCAAGAAGGCGACGACGATGAGGTTTCCGAACCATGTTCCACCTATGTGTAACTGTCTCGACAAGAAGAGTTAAGTTTATAACTGCACACTGAAATAACCAGACTTGGAAGCTTTTCTTTCCTCTGCACGTTGGAATTATACAACAAGTGATGAATTTTAAACACAGTATTGCGTCAAAGAATGTCTAAGTTGTTACTTTTGGAGTTTCGATGTCAGCCATTAATTTAGACATATCTTTCTGTTTGTTCTCCTCATCGAAACTTTAACAAAATTTTCGGGGTATCCGTTCTCGTATAGTAAGTTTTCTATTTTCCATATTTCATCGTCTGGAGTGTTGAGTGTGCAGATTTTTCTATGCAAGGGGAACAGACCACCTGAAGTGGATTTATTGGCCAACCCATGATTGATCTCGGATACTGCCCCGGTTATAATACTGCCATCTTGCATTCTTGCTTTAGTAAGATATCAAAAAATGATAAATTATTGTCTTTTTCCGTTTCCTATGTGAAGTCAATTTTTGGGTGAAACGTATTGTGAAAGTTTTGATAAGGACTCTTATTTCGCACGCCAATATATATTTGATGCGATGATTGAGGGATTGGTGAACTGTATGAGGCTAGTTAGGGTACGTGATCCATCTATCTATCTAGCTACACTTGGTCAGAATACAACAGTGAGATTTTCTGGCGATTGTCGACTCCGTTTTCCCGGCCTACGGTCATCTTCAGTGGCGTAGAATATGCAGACGATATAGTCCTTCTAGGCGAAGACGCTGACAAAATGCAGAGTCTTCTAAACACCTTGAGCTGTCTGTCTGTTTTCGACATAGAACTTTGCACAAATGTGCGGAAGTTCAAGTCGCCACATTCCGTGTAGCACGCGAAGCAAGAGAAGAAAGTACAAGAAAAGCATAATAGAAACAGTGAGCAGAGGTGTGAGACAAAGGAGTAATAAAGAAGGACAAAACAGTTTCATTGGAGATCATAAGTCACAAGGAGTGGATGCATCTGCGCCACTGAGAACGATTTTGAGCCATGTCACCAATTGTTTCCAACCATAGATTTTTACCGTCCCGAGGACCCCAGCCTGGAAGTCTACACCTTCCTACGTGGCTTAGACCAACTGTTGTGGATTTCATTGACTGATGCCAAGTTTTTGTTTGACCGCCGCTAGCTTTTTTCCAGCCTGACCCTATATCCGCTAACATTGCTCGTCGAGGGAGGCGATGGCTTGGCATACGTAACACATGTCCTAACCATCTCAGTCTTTGTAGCTTCACGACTTCGTCGATTGATTTCCCCTGTTTACCTAGAACTCTACGCCTAACCTCCATGTTGCTCACCTTATTATGCCACTTTACACGGGAAATAGAACGCAGGCACCTATGATCAAAGACAGCTAGTCTTTTCATGTCTTCCACTCTCAGTGGCCAGGTCTCACAACCATAAAGGAGGACGGAGCGGACTGATGAGCAGTACACCCGCCCTTTGGTCGATAGTCGAACATCTCGTCTACGCCAGAGTCGGCGTAAACTAACAAATGCGAAACGAGCCCCTTGTATTCGTGCTGAGATTTCGTCAGAGATCAGCCCGTTGGGGCTGATGGTACTTCCCAAATAAGTGAAGCGGTCAACGTGCTCTACCACTTCACTTCCTATTTTTAAACTAGGCGTCGATGTAGTCCAGTCCTGTAACATCATCTTGCATTTGGCGGGAGCGAATCGCATGCCAAACATTCGTAGATTGCGGCTCAAGGTGTTTAGAAGACTCTGCATTTCGTCAGCGTCTTCGCCTAGAAGGACTATATCGTCTGCATATTCCAAGTCAACGAGATTATTCCCCGGTAGCAAGTCAATCCCTGAGTCGCTGAAGTCACCTAGGGTTAAGTCCATTAACACATCTATGATGAAGTTGAATAGAAAAGGAGATAATGGGCATCCTTGACGGACACCACTGGTCGTCATCAGTTCAGATGACAGCTCGCCGTAAGCCCTCACCTGGCTGTATGAGTACGAGTAGAGTGCCTTAATCAGTGCAATATATTTTCTCGGAATTCCCTTTACAGCCAAGCATCTCCAGAGAACTTCCCGATCGACAGAGTCGAATGCTGCCTTTAGGTCAAGAAATATAATGACTGTTGGACGCCGGTAGGAATGCCTATGTTCTAGAATCTGTCGGAGGGTGAAGATATGATCAATACACCCTCTTCCTGGTCTAAAGCCTGCCTGGCTCTCTCGTGTTTGTGCTTCCCGAGCACCACTCAGTCTACGCATGATTATTGAGCCTAAGACTTTAGATACTATATTAGTCAAGCTAATCCCTCTGTGATTATCACAGGAAGACTTGTCTCCCTTCTTGTATATGGGGATAATCAGTGACTTACACCAACCCGATGGGACTTCTTCTGATTCCCAGACGCTGCCTAGTACCTCAGTTAATCCGGACAGTAAGCTGTCTCCACCGTACTTAAATACCTCTGGAGTCATTCCATCAGGTCCCGCTGCTTTGCCTAGTTTCAGATTGGTGACAGCTTTAGTAACCTCAGTTAGTGACGGAGGACCTGTGTCTATATCCCATTCAGGGAGGTGTTGGATGCTCGGAAGGTTGAGCGTGGCTGTGGGCAAATTAAACTGCTCCTCATAATGCTCTTTCCAACGATCCAGTCGTCTATCCTGGAGCTAATTATAGTGCCATTTTTTTCCGAGATTGTCTCACTGATGATTTGTCTTCTCCCACCCGTTTCCCTGATGAGTCCAAAGAGTTGCCTGGTGTTGCCTATCCTCAAAGCTTTCTCCATCTCTTTGGCTTTTGTCGCCCACCACTGTTCACGGTCCTTGCGGAGACTTTTCGTAAGTTTCCTCTTGTGCAGCTTTCGCTCCTCATTGAATTCGGAGCTCGCCGGAATAAGTCTTCTAGCATCTATCAGTTCGGATGAGGCGGTGGAGATCCAGTGGTTTTTACTCACCTTTGGGTTTACCTTATTCACAGCTTTTACAGCTGTATCTATGGCTGCCTGGATATTTTTCCAAGCTTCTTCAGGGTGAGCACAGCTGTCGAACACAGATATGTGTTTAGCTAGTTCTTCCTCAAATACGGATTTAGTTTCCTGATCGAGCTGGGGACGTGATGGTTTTACCGCCAGCTGTTTCCTACGTCCGTTCAGTCGTAAGCACACCCGAGCGCGGACCAGTGCATGGTCGGTATCTACGCACGTGTTCCAGAAGGAGCGACAATCTCCTACCGACCCACGCCAACGATAGCTTATTGCTATGTGGTCTATTTGTGTCCAGCGTTGGTTTGATGAAGGGGGTCTCCAAGTCAAACAGTGTCTCTCCTTGTGTTTGAAGTTAGTGCTTACAAGAAACAAATGATTATCAGAGCAGAACTGTAGGAGACGGTCACCGTTGTCGGTTCGCTGGCACGGAACTCCATAGGTGCCACCGACATCCTTCTCAGATTGACACAATTTCCCTACTTGAGCGTTAAAGTCACCAGCTAGAACGACTATGTCTGAGCGTTTAGCCTTTCCACCAAACTAGACAGCTTTTGGTAGAACTCATCCTTCGTTTCATCTGAACTGCAGTCAGTGGGGGCGTAGGCGGAGATTACGAAAAGGCATCGGCGAGTAGTGCAGTCCTTCCTCCTTCTTACTGATCCGTTCAGGCGGACAGCACACATTCGGCTATCTACCGGGATCCAGTCAAGCAATGTCTTTTCTGCCCTAGTACTCAAAGCTATCCCTACGCCAGCTAATCCTCGTGAACTAGCTGTGGCATCTCCTGACACCCTCAAGGTGAATTTTGCAGATTCAACCTGTTGGCCAGGTGGGGTTAGGTGAATAACCACACTTGGGTCTTGTATGCGTGTTTCTGAAACACAGCATACATCAATGGCTCGTGATGCCAGGGTCTTGGCTAGTGATGCTTGTTGTCCTATTTGGCAAAGTGTCCTAACATTAAGAGCTCCTATATGAAATTGGTGGCGCGGCTTTAAGAGGCTGTCGGTGGTGGTTTTTTGGCTTCCATCGTTTTTAGTGGACGCAGAGTGGAGAGGAAGTGGAGAGCTATCAAGTCGAGGAGTTGCATCAGTGGAAGGAAGGCAAGATGATAGAGATGAAGATGAAGACAAAGATGAGTGAGTAATAGAGAGGTTTCGTGTGCATTTCGGATTGTGAGGGCGATTGTTACTTCCCGGCTGCCCACACCGTGGAAGTTGGTTGCGTGACCGCAGAGCCCAGGGGACAACTGCTTGAGGCCGGTCACACGCGGCCTGTTTTTGTTTGTTCTTTTTGTTTGGTGTGCCTCAGTAGCATATTATCACTCCTGCCCTGTGACACGGCAGCAGGAAGCGCGGTCGTTGTTAATCCGGGCCACGGCCGATCCGGCATGAAATTTTGTGAATTTGTATTGGACATGATGTTGGATTGGGTAGCTGCTTTTTGTTTAACCGCTATCCAAACAACCTGCCTGGCATGGTAGACCTCAAGAGACATAAGTCTCAGCCAGTATAGCTTGAATAGATCATTGCGGTGTTCAAGCCCGACCACCACGTCAAGGTAGCAGCTTTCGGTCGGGACCTTGAGCTGCAGTCTACGAATGTTTGGCATGCGATTCGCTCCCGCCAAATGCCAGATGATGTTACAGGACTGAACTACACTGACTCCTAGTTTAGAAATAGGAAGTGAAGTGGTAAAACACGTTGACCGCTTCGCCTATTTGGGAAGTACCACCGGACAGTGCCAGCGGGTTGATCTCTGACGAAATCTCTGCACGGATGCAGAGGGCTACGCTGTCTCCGGCGTAGACATGATATTCGACTATCGACCAAAGGGCGGGTGTACTGCCCAGCAGTCCGCTCCGTCCTCCTTGATGGCCAACTGTGAGACCTGGCCATTGAGAGTGGAAGACACGAAAAGATTAGCTGTCTTTGATCATGGGTGCCTGCGCTCTATCTCCCGCGTGAAGTGGTATAATAAGGTGAGCAATATTCAGGTTAGGCGTCGAGTTCTAGGTAACAAGGGGAAATCAATCGACGAGGTTGTGAAATTACATCGACTGAGATGGTTAGGACATGTGTTACGTATGCCTAGTCATCGCCTTCCTCGACCAACAAGCGATATTAGCTGACATAGGGTCAGGCTGGAAAAGAGCTAGTGACGGTCAAACAAAAACTTGGCACCAGTCAGTGAAATCCACAACAGTTAGTTTAAGCCACGTAGGAAGGTGTAGACTTCCTGACTGGTTGGGGTCCTCGGGACGGTAAAAACCAATGGTTGGAAACAACTGGTGGCATGGCTCAAAATCGTTCTCAATGGCTGGCTCAGATGCATCCACTCCTTGTGACTTATGATTTCCAATGAAACTGTTTTGCTCTTCGTTATTACTATTCCTTTGTCTCACACCTCTGTTTACTGTCTCTTCTACTTTCTTCTGTTGCTTTGTGTGCTACATGGAGTGGAGTGTGGCGGCTTGAACTGCTTCACATCGGTGCAAAGTTCTATGTCGAAAACAGACAGACAGACATCTTCAGTAGAGTATTTCCAACCATTTTGATTGCTTTCCTTACTATTGGCAATATACAAATGTTTATCCTTTTGTAATCACCGACATGATGGGGTGATGCGCAGTCAATTCCAAATTCTCTTATTTATTATTTCTATAGATGTTCTGAGTGGAACATAAAGGGCCACATCTCCATTTCACACTATTGCCTGCGCAGTCCTCTTTAGCTAGTTTCACAACTGTCCACAAGCGTTTTTCATTTCCTCATTACACAATCTCTTCAACGTTACCGTCGCAACCAACTTATCGTTTCGTATTCTAGGGTCTACCTAGCCACCACCCACCTGGTGTCACTTTTTAACCGTCTCTACTGAAGATCAATCAGATAGATGGTTAGCTTCAGAAAGGATAAGTAACGCGGAGTTCTAAAAGGCAACGAAACAACGAATAAACTATTGCTCGACCAACACATATATGCCGAAGAGAATAGGGACACACACACACGCTGAGGAGACCATTGAGAGTTGAGTTTAGCATAGAACCGAAGGGGACATGAACGAGATGAGAGATGATAGAGACTATGGGCGGTAATCATGGAGCCAGCCAGCCAGCCAACTGCTAAACTAGACTAGACTACACAGAGAAGATGAAATATGAAGATGGAGGGTGCTGACTGAGTGGAGACCTGCCTGCCTATACTCCACTCCGGAACCCACAATATTACATCATATAGACAAAAAGTCACAACAATTTATTCATAATGCAACAATGGCATTAATATATTTCCCCACCCCACCCCACCTCGTTCTCATTAACAGATATCTACAAGGAAGTTGTAACTACAGGAGAAGGAAGAAGAAATCAACACAGTGGTACTACATATTTTTAAAAGAGAAGAGGTTGTTATAGACGAAGGATATATAGATATAACACCAGTATTAATGATAATAATAATGATTAATGAATACACACAAGTTTAGCCAACTAACTTTCTGTACAAAAATGAATTTCACAACGTCTCAAAAACAGAGAACAACACTTTTCCGCTTTCAATTAATGCGTGGATGATAAAAGCATAATAATAATAATAACAGTAATAATAAAATTGTTAAAATTAGACGACTGGTTACTAGAATTGTTATTTGGTTCATTCCATTATTTATTTATTGTCAGAATGACAAGATGGAAAGCAGGAGAAGATGATGAATAAGAATCGTACATTTCGACTCGAAAATAAGGCAGGTGGAAGACAGTCTAGTTGGTGTTTTGTTTTTCTTGTCGTACTAACATCGGATCGCCGTGCCAACTGCCATAAACATACCAAAAGTGCCTCCGCCTTGGAACATACCTTTACCAACTGTTTGCAGTAATTCACGTCCACGTAAACCATATCTAGTAAACAAAAAAAACCAAAGCATAAAACAGGGAAGACATGGAGCCCTTTTCATGATTATTGTTATAACGGAATGGAGTTTCACAGATTTGGGAAGTTGTATCGGTCAACCCCAGCGGGTTGATCGCTGACAAAATATTAGCACGGATACAGAAGACTCGTTCGGCATACGCCAACTCACTCTATATCTGGCTTAGTAGACGTGATATCCTGCTGTAGACCAAAGGGCGTCTATACTGGTCAGCAGCAGTCCACTCCATCCTCTTTCATGGCTTTGAATGAGACATAGCCATTGAAAGTGGAAGATTTGAAAAGCCAGGCTAGCCATTGGAATACCTGTCAGGGAGTACTGGACAGCTGTTTCGTTAGCCTTGTATGGGACCCTTCATCACTACGCACTCACCACAGAGGTTCGAAACCACGACCTTCTGGTTACAAGGCGAGCTCATAGACCGTATTAAGCCACTGGGACCCGATCTAACGGCCAGCCCATGAGGTTCAACTTATGCCAATTCTAATGGTTCTCGAACCGATTAATCAAATCCCTACAAACCACTATTTGAAAGTGATATATATGTATACACACAGGTTTTCTCTGCATGGTTTGAAGGCATTTTTCTCTCCCAATCTTTTCCTATCATGGAGACTTTAACAAATTTTTCTGGATATCCGTTCTTATATAATAAGAGTGTCAGTTGTGCAGATTTCTCTAGCACGTAACAACATTAGGGCACCGATGAAAACTTCATTCGTATGCAAGAGGAACAGACGACATCAAGTGGGTGTATTGGCCATCCCCATGATTGTTTTCGGATACTGCTCTGTGCTTAATACTACCAACTTGCCTTCTTCTTAGCAGGATATTAGCATATGATGATAAGGTGTTGTCTTTCTCTGTTCCATATTTCAGCTCAATCTGTGGCTTAGCCATACTGAAGGTTTTGAGAAGGACCTTTGCATCGATTTTATTATCATACAAGATAAAAATATCATTCATGTATCGACAGTGGGACGAGAGTTCATTGATTACATTTTCTCATGTGGATAATTCTTTAATGTTGCCATAAACACATATCGCCTAAGAGGGGATCCAGAAGCGAACTCATTGCTACATCCTCTACTTAGCCTGAAACTGTACATTCTCATCGTACAACGGAGTAACAGTTCCCGTAGTGTTTTTGAAGTGATACCCCTACTTCCATATGAAGACATGAAAAGGTTGACTGCTTTCGATCATAGATGTCTACGATCTCTTTCTCACGTTAGGTGGTGGTATAATAAGGTAAGTAATGTTGACGTTAGGTGTAGAGTGTTGGGCAAACAGGGAAAATCAATCGACGAGGCTATAACATTACATAGATTCAGATGGCTAGGTCACGTGCTACGCATGCCTAACCACCGCCTCCCCCGACGGGCACTACTAGCTGATATAGGTGCAGGTTGAAAAAGAGTAAGTGGTGGCCAAACAAAAACATGGCCTCATCAATCCATGAAATCCTTGACAGTTAAACTGAGTCAGTCAGGTAGGGAGATGCAGACTTCCGGGTTGGGGCCCTCGGGACTGACTCTAGGAATCAATGGCTGGAGACAATAGGTGACATGGCTCAAAATCGTTGTCAGTGGCCAGCGCACATGTATTCAGTTTCTGTAATCTTTCATATTCCTTTCTACCATTACCCATTCTGTTTCACTCTTATACTTGTCAAACTCTATTGATTCTCTTCACTCATCTTCTTGTCTACCTCTGTGTGCTATTTGGAAGGTGGCAACTCGAACTGGTGCACTTCGGTGCCAAGTTCTATGTTGAATCCAGACAGACAGACAGACAGACCATATGATTTTCTATAAGTGATTCGCAGATGAAGTCGATGCTCGTTAATGAAGGGACGTGCTGTTAGTGAACACAGAAGTGATATCCATAGGAGACCACTGTTTCATATTTAATCTTCTTATTTTAAAACACTTTCAACCTAATTTCAGTGTATTCAGAGAAAGTTTGTTCAATCTCTCTACATCCCTTGACCTTCAACTCTACCCACCTACTCACCCCCAACCAACGTAATATATAAGGACCAAAGAGGTTATTTTTTGTGACCAAGACACCTAAGAAGGCTATAATCATAAGAGTTTTAAAACCATCGCACAAACTAAGCAGTAAAATGTGTTAAATATCAACAATAGATACAATCAAGTAAAACAAATAAAAATATTTATTGTTGTAAATGAACTTGGAGATATATAACTGATTGGCGTACACATGTCATCGTCTGACGTTTGAATCCCCCAGGTCACTTACTCTAACCTAGGTGGTAATAACTAAGTAGTGTCACAATTCCTTAAAAAAGAATGACTATGAGTCATAGCCTCGTCCATGAATAGTCTAGTCACAGGATTGCATCATAAGCTGACATTAGTTAAAGCTACCCTTTAAAATTCATTAGGAAGATCAGAAAAGGCCAAACGAAAAATAAAAATAATTGTGAAACTATTAATAATAACATAAATAAGAGAGAATATAAGTCATCTACAGTTATACCATATAAAGAGGGGACATCTGAAACCCTCCCCACGTAGGATTCTAAATAAAGCAGGAATTAGGGTGGCATTTAAACCTACAAACTCACTCAGGGACAAGCTGTGTAGGTTAAAGGACCCAGTTGAATCAATTAGACAAAATAATATTTAAAAAATGCCATGCAATGACTGTGAGTTCAACTACATAGGTCAAACTAGTAAGTCAGGGGTAGTCAGATTGTCGGAACATAAGAATTTAGCTAAGGTAAGAATGGTTGACCCTGAAAAAATAAGTAATTTAGAAAAAAGGTCAGCAATTGCAATGCATGCATTAAGACACAACCACACAATAGGGTGGGAGAGGGTTAAAATTCTAAAAAGCAATCTAGGTAGGTGGAGAGAGAGGTTGATTACTGAATCCTTGTTCATCGAGTCTACACCAAACACATGCAATAGGAATGAGTCATCACTCATACCTGAAATATGGAAAATACTACTGCCAATTAAATCAAGTGAAAATCAAGTGAAAAATAATGGAACTATGTAAATGAAGTTAGGAAGTCGTATGAATTACCTTGATATGATTATGAGCAATAAATTGTGCTCGAAACGCGGTCATCAGTAAACATTACTGTATAACACTATGAGACTTTATCAAAACAAAAATTTACCCATAATGGAATTAGTTAAAGCCACCGGGTGCCAGTGGCTTAGTCATCTACGGGCTAGCCTTGTAACCGGAAGCTCTTGCGTTCGAACCCCTTTGGTGGGTGTGTACTACAGAAGAGTCCCAAACTAGGCTGACGAAACAGCTGTCCAGCACTCCATATTGTTTTTTTCTTATGGTTCTCTAACCGATGTCAGCTCATGGTGAAATCTTGTAACCAGTCATATGGTTGCAAACCAAAATTTGTAGATATATGCTGACAGTCTCAACAGTGCTGACCGATAGCTGCCACCCCGACGTGGTAGTTGAGCTTGAATATCGCAATAACCCAACAAGTTACACTAGTTAGAAAGCGTGTTCCTGCAGGTCCTACCATACCATAAGGGATGCGCTGTTAGCTGGAAGACTAAAAGTAGTTATCGTTACAGTGTGTCAGTTGGCTACATTAGGTTTGTGGTCTGTGGGCAAAGTCGTTCTACTAGTGAATAAGGATGTTTTAACAGCAGTGAGGTGTTTCCTTCACATAACCACCGGCTATGCTGGCCTCTCCTCTCTGGAGAGGGGGCTTGGAAAAAGTCAACCCCAAAAACTGTAAATCCCAACTCACCTTTTGACAGTTCATGACTGGCGGTAAAACCTAAACACGAACATAGCTCCAATAACCACTTTTCAAGCAGGACACACGTGCACAAACCGGCTTTGAACAGTTGTTCCCTAGACACTGAGGTCACAAAACACTATAATGCTCCACCATATGTTTCAGGCTTTCGTAGAAGAAGAAATCAACCTCCATAGTGCAGGCAGACGGAAATTAGTAACAACCACTCAACAACAAAACATCTCCCCATAAACACACAAAGCTCTGCGCCAGTGATAGAATGCTCACCAACTATGCACGTGTCCAGGGGTTCGATTCCTGGTCGGGCATGATGCTAGCAACCCCACTACCCAGTAAAAACAAAACCCCTCCTACTGAAACCTCAGAGCTGAGGCTTGAGCCCCTATGCTCTACTCTGAACGCAAACGAATAAGAATAGAGAACAGAAAGAAGACACGAAGCTCTCCTGACGACCCTCATCGGTAAGGTCAGATGCCCAACAATTCATTACAATACAATGATTACAATACTGCTCAGGTGGAAAAATATACACAGGTAAAAAACATCCACAATCTTACCTTAAACAACTAAATCCACCGAATATAGCACCACTGGCTACACCAACACAAAATCCCATTAAAAATCCATATTTTACTCTGTCTAAACACGACGGCTGAGACATTCCTCCATAGACGTTGGGAGCAACCGGCATTATTTTAACTGGGAGTATAAAAATTATTCTGGGGTACCTATAAAAGAGAAACACACAAATCCAAAATGTAAAGTCTGCTACCTACAAAGAAAGTAGATTGAGATGTTATGTTATGTGAAACTTAAGACTACCGAAGTTACACGTAGAGTAGGCATTAGGAATGCGAAGCATCGTTGAGGCACCCAGTATGCAACACATCCTATTATGCTATCTAACACGGTAGACAGAACGCAGACAGCTGTGGTCAAAGACAGGTTGCCTTTCCACGTCTTCCATTTTCAATGACCAAGTCTCACTTACAGCCATAAAGGAAGATGGAGAGAACAAGTGGTGAGAAGTACACACATTCTTTGGTCGATAGACAGCCAGATTTTACGTCATGACATATAAGTTGGCATATGAGAAACAAGCCTTCTGTATCCCTGCTGAGATTTCGCCAGAAGTAATCTGTCTGTTGGAGATGATGGAACTTGACAAATAAGTGAAGTGGTCAACACACTACCACTTCACTCCTGCTTATATTGAAGCTAGGAGTCGATGTGTAGCCCAGTCCTGTAGTATCACCATTATGATCATTGTAACGGTAAATATAAGAATGATAATGACTTGCTGACGCCGCAGCAGCCCCAGTGAAGTGATCGCTGATGAAATCTCAGCCAAAGCACACAGAAGGCTCGTTTGACATTCACCATCGATCAAGCGACGTGTATACTGTTCGGAAGTTCGCTCCGTTTTCTTATACAGCCTTGAGAAATAGCCATTGGAAGTGGAACACATGAAAAGGCGAACTGTCTTTGACCATAGGTGTCTGCGTTCTGTCTCTCTTGTTAGGTGACATCATAAGGTGAGTAATATTGAGGTTAGACATAGAGTGTTAGGTAAAGAGGGAAAATCAATCGATAAGGTTGTGAAGCTATACGGACGGAGATGGTCAGAATATGTGTTACGCATGCATAGCCATCGCCTTCCTCGACGGGCAATGTTAGATGACATAGGATCGATCAGGTTGGAAAAGAGTTGATGGTGGTCAAACCAAAACATGGCTTCATAAGTCAGTGAAATTCATAGTAGTTAGTTCTAGCCATGTAGGGAGGTGTAGACTACCTGGCTGGTTGGGGTCCTCGGGTTGGTAAAAACCAGTGGGTGGAGACAACTGGTAACATGGCTCAAAATTGTTCTCAACGGCTGGTGGAGATACATTCACTCTCTGTGGTTTCTCTTATTCAACAAGACTCCATTTTTCTTCCATATTACTATTCTTTTTCCTGCATTAATACTTCTGTTTATTATCTCTCTCTCTTTTGAACCCCTTTTTATTCCCTACTTTTGCTTTATCTGCCACATGGAGAGTGGTAAGTTGGACTAGTGCACATCTGTGCAAAGTTCTACGTTGAAACCGATCATTCAGCACTTTCTGACGTGTCATAAGTTACCGTTATCTGGATTACACAAAAACGTGTTACGAGAGAAAACTTCAAGCAGTCTACTCTTCCTTGAAACATATTAGACACAACGACTATCACTAGATGGGTCACGAATATCTCACATCTAAGTATTAAGAAGTGATTATGAGCCATGACTTAAAGATACCTCAGTACTGCAAAGCATTCGTAGCAAAATGTTCTCAATTACTCAAATATGTGACAGATATCACTCGTATTCTAAACAGTATTTAAGTAGTCACTTTCCCTTTGAATACGTTGATGTAATGTAGTACATTAGAAAGAAAATTAGTTTTTCTACGATAGGCATTCATTGCAACCGAGATGACTTTAGTCACTTTGTCACAGAATGTGTAACCCATTAAAGAAATTCACATCTTCAAAAATAACTTCCAACCTGATGTGGCTTTCCTTCCTCCAAGACTGATTCTCTGCATAGCTACCTTACAATAGTTCAGAACACAGTTAGATGAAATCAGTGATGATAAACAACGAGAGAGCACTAGAACTACGAAAAATAACACTCCCATCAGTGTTCAAACACACTTACATCCAGGTGTCATCATATGTCACGACTTAAAAACTACAGCATACTGTCACACGATGGCAGCTCAAAGTTTCAGATCTTCATGGACAACATGCAGAGTGCTTACTAGAATCACCAGAGATATGTTCCCTTCTTTATATAAACCTCTAATGAAGTCAAGACTGGAAATCTGTATTCAGGCAGTTAGTCCTTATCTTGAGGGAGGCTCATACATTCCAGAAAGAGTTGGATGGAAGACAACACACATGATTCTTCGCATAACCAATTTATCATACGCTCAAAGACTAGACAATTTGAAACTCCTCTCCGTGTCATACCGTAGGCAGACAAGAGATTTCATTACAATGTTTAAAATTTTAAATAATGACTATGGACCTGATTTAGTTCTTGTTTCCCTTCTCACCAGGTGGTCGGAAGACATTAGTGAGTATAGTAGGGGAATTCAAAAGCCAAGGAAGAACCACCATATTGTGTAGAGCATTGGTCTTCACGCCGAGTTGTCAACTCGTCGGACAACCACCTGAACTGACTCATTCAAGAAGAATTTGGATAAGCACAGAGGTTTACTAGAAGAGGATTAACATAGGCTTCAAGCCCGCTATCCTCAGTGAATAAGTCTGAAATCTGAATCAGAGAACACAATACCTTGGAGTCTACCGACTAGCATTCTATGCACTGGAGTTCGAGAAAACAAGCATTGAGGACAACAGAAATGAGGAATATTTTACAGTTTGTTTATAAATCACACGAATAGAAGTGAAGTTTGACTGGATTATGTCAAGTCAAATTATCCGTGAGCAATTTCGGCTTTGATTGTAGTTTTCAGGTACCGTTAACAGTTTCCACTAGCAGGGGAGTGCTGACAAACACACCCATCCGACTCTCCTTCCACAACAATCATAACAGGCTACAGGAGGGAAGAATTCAGAGACAACGACTGCATCCGTTGGTAGGCTAACCGTTATCACCTCCACTGCCTTCAGATTCATTGGTTGAGGATAGAAGGCTTGGTGCCCATGTTAATCCTCTTCTAGTAAATTTCTGTGAATCTCAGCAAGGTGAACATTGAGTAGCAAGGCGAATGGGCTAACTGTTAGAGTCTGGAAACTAATTGCAAGAAAAGCGCAGTAATGCACCTAGGACAGAAGTCTTACACGTCTTACTTCATGGGGGACACAGAACTGCCAAATGTTAGGGGACAAAAGGACTTAGGAATTACTGTTAGCCATGACTTAAAAACAACGATAAACTGTAATCGAGCCGCAGCTAAGGCTTTTCGAATGCTATGGGAACTTCGAAGGGCTTTCAAACGATTAGACGAGGGTATGTTACAAGTACTCTATTCAACACATGTCAGACCTTATCTAGAGTATTGCATACAAGCGGCGAGTCCACGCTTCCGTCAACCTCTAAACGTGCATACGCTTTTGGTGGCAGAATTCTTGTTATTTGAGGGAGAATCAGCAAACAGACATTGATCAATTGCAATTCGTGAACTACTCACTGAATCTAAGAGTTATTACCCTTTGGCCTATCTGAAAACCACCAACTTATCCAGTCATTACATTGTGCACAATGTAGCATGCTCCATGATCATTTTCTTTATCTTAACGCAAAATCCCGCCTGATAGCTTATAATCTATCTACTAAAAGTGACCCTACGGATATATTAAATAATTTATACGTTGATGACAACCAAAAAATACTCAATAAATACCTATAACCGCTAAAATACTTACACTCACAAGACACCGGCCAAATGACCTCGGTAAGTCAAACTACCTCTCTAATGCCTAAATTCCAATATCCAATTTGTGAGCTACAGAATTTTTAAACATGTTAGGATTTCCATACCACATTGACAATACTGTGTGGCACAAGCCCACGGAAATTTTCACTTGTATTCTTATTGTTATTACCCTAGCTGTTATCATTATTATTGCTATTTCCATTTTATATGCTGCACCTCTATTGTAAGTGTGGAAAATTTTCTGTGTGATTAATTTTTATTAATAATTTGAGGAAATTAGATGCAATATTGTGATTAATGCTGAAAATTCCATTCTGTATCACAAGTACTGTTTTTGGAATAAAGTAAATCATTATTATTATTATTATTATTACTCAACGTCTCATTGACTAGAATTATTATTCTCATATTTGTAATGTTAATGAGCTCTCATAACAGTCCCCTACAAATTAATTGGTGAGCCCGTTTAGGACACGGATTATTTTGACATATTCATATTCTTATTCTTGCCAGTTTGTATATTCATTGTGATTTTGTGTGTGGTCTTATATTTGTATCCTATTTGCACCAAAATTCTCACATCTATAATGTCGTCACCTCAGTCCCGTACATCAACCGAGCAGGCAACTAGTAGCGAGACAAATGCCACAATAAATGCTGTGAATGTAGTTGAAGATTGAACGATCGATTAGTGGTTGTTTGCTCAAACCCAACTTCCCCATAATTTTTGCGGGTGATCAGTCTGCCAGTCATCGTCATATCGGCTGCTGTTCAGAAAGCAGCTAGAAAAAACTGTCAGAAGTAATATCGTGATTTATGGTTGTAATATTTGTTCTTAGGCCTTAGTTTATTATGCTGCTATGTTGGTGTTAGAATAAAGAATTCTCGAGTCGCCAATCTGTGTTCTGGTTTTTGCGTCCGTCAGTACTAAGCGTTTCTGAAAGGCTTCGAGGGACAGCGTGAGGCCAACGTAGCGAGAGCTGGGCATTAACGGTTTTTGAGACATGACTGACAAATTCCGTCACTGATTTCCGTTTACCACAATGCGGTTTCGCGGAACCCAGGATTTGGTTTGCAGTAATTGAGCCGTTGTTGGAAGCACGGGCATTAAGTCCCAGATAGCCAAATATGGTGTAGTGTTGGTAGAACTCCCTCCGTCAGTATTGACAGAAATCAGCGACTTCATCGAAAACTCCCCGACAGAAAACCAATTTGACAAACTTAAAGCCCTTCTTATACAACGCACCAGTTTGTCAGATGAGAAAAGAATCCAACAATTACTCACAGGCTGTGAACTAGGACCACGTAACCCATCCCAGCTCTTCAGGCACATGCGCCAGTTAATCGGATACCATAAAGTAGACGAGGTAGTGCTGAAACAGATGTGGCTGCAACGTTTACCCAGAAATGTCCAACAAATTTTAATCATCTCAGGAAATTCATATGATTTAGACCCACTAAGTGAAATGGCAGATAATATTATCGATGTCTCATCTGATAACACCGTAGGTCACATAGCATCTGATAGTGCGACGCCGTGTCATTCCACACCCACGGCAGACTCACCAATACTCGCCGCCATTGCAGACTTAGCGGCAAGGATTGACAAGTTGGAAACTAATAGGTCGGATCGACGAGTCCGGAGGCGGAGCTCACAGAGAAGGTCACCATCACGACGATGAACTCTCTCGCGACAGCGTTCCCATACGTCTTCTCGGGACAGTAATATATGTTGGTATCACTGGAAGTTTGGACGTCATGCCCTAAAATGTGTAAAACCGTGTATTTTTATCGAAGGTAATCAGGCTCGTGGAAACGTCTCAGCTAGACAGTGATGGTGACAGCTGTTACTGGCAAGCAAGCAATTCGCCTCTTCTATGTGAAGGGCAAAACTTCAGACACCTTATCCCTGGTAGACACAGGAGCAGAAGTTAGCGTGATCCCTCCTTCACTATCCAGGCGACCTACACGGACACCCGGAAAACTGTCTTTCCGGGTAGCCAACCACGCAAGCATACAGACGTATGGGGAACAATCCCTTATAGTGGATCTAGGTTTACGTCGGCGTTTTACATGGATTTTCATGGTAGCCGACGTCGATCACGCCATCCTCGGAGCTGATTTCTTAAGTAATTTCGACCTGTTAGTTGACGTCAACAATAAAAACTGATTGATAACAACAACCAACTAAAGATCCATGGAATTATCTCCAACTATTCTGCCTATAATATCACTATCGAAAGACCAGCGGATTGCACCCTACTCCATCGTTTCCCTAAAATACTTAAACCGTTGTAAAACATCGAGGACGTCCCTCATACAATCACTCACAAGATTGTTACCACGGGTCAACCGGTTCGTGCTCGTCCTCGTAGATTACCCCCGGACAAATTAGCAGCAGCCAATGCAGAATTTGAACACACGATGCAGCTCGGCATCACCAAACCCCCCAATAGTCCTTGGTCTTCACCCTTACACATGGTGCCCAAAGCTGATCATGATTGGAGGCCATGTGGGGATTACCGACATTTAAACAACGCCACAGTTCCGGACCGTTACCCGATTCCCCACCTACATGATTTCTCCCTGATATTACATGGAAAAACCATTTTTGCCAAAGTAGACTTGGTGAGGGCCTATCACCAAATACCAGTTGCCCCAGAGGATATCGAAAAAACTGCCATCATCACACCTTTCGGTTTGTTCGAATTTCTGAGCATGCCATTTGGTCTAAAGAACTCTGCACAATCCTTCCAACGTTCCATGGATCGGGTCACACAAGGTTTGGATTTTGTATTTGTATATATCGATGACGTTTTAATTGCTAGCTCGTCGCCCGAAGAACATAGTGATCACCTCACCATCTTATTTCAGCGATTTGAGCAATATGGAGTCGTCATTAACCCCAAAAAGTGCATATCCGGTGTCTCCTCTATATAGTTTCTGGGACACCACATAACCGCAAATGGAATTAGACCTACGGAGGAAAACATGGAGTCCATCAAAAATTTCCCCAAACCGGATTCACTCAAGAAGGTCAGACGTTTTTGGGGATGTTTAATTTCTATCGGCGTTTTATGCCTTCGTGTGCCTCCATGGTTCGGCCTTCAAACGACCTCCTTAAAAATGATCCTAAAATGTTTCAGTGGTCAGCTCAAGCACACGAATCTGTTTGCAACGCAAAAGACGCCTTATCCAGTCACTATGTTATTCCATATCAACCCTGAAGCATCACTTATTTTGTGCACAGATGCCTCCCAAGTAGCTGTGGGGGCAGTATTACAACAAAAGATGAAGGGTGAAGTCGTCGCACTCGCATTCTTTTCTAAGTTGGAACCGGCTCAGACACGTTACAGCACTTCCGGGAGAGAATCGTTGGCCATATATCTTGCAGTCAAGCACTTCAGTTACTTACTACAGGGCTGGCATTTCACTATTTTTACTGATCACAAGCCCTTGTGTTATGCTTTCACTACTGCACTCGATAAACACTCCCCTAGAGAAGCCAGACTGTTGGATTATATCTCCCAATTTTCAACCGACATTCAGTATATCAAAGGGGACGCAAATGTGGCAGCTGATTCTCTTTCAAGAAGTGACATGAACCAGCTTCAAACTTCGGTACACATCAGTCTTGACCGTATGGCTCAATTAAGATAAGATAAGATAAGCTTTATTCCAAATCAGTACTTGTGCTGCAGAATGGAATTACAAAGAGATGACGCTGAACTCCAAACCTGTCGCGGAAACTCTTCCTTACAGCTCAAGGATGTGCCTATTCCCTTATCAGATGCAACTATAGTTTGCGATGTATCTACCGGCACTAATCGTCCATTTGTTTCTCTCAGTTGCCGAAAAGCATTGTTCGAACACTTACATTCGCTTTCTCACCCGGGAGTACGCGCCATGGTCAGACTTATCAGCGAACGCTTCATGTGGCCCAGAATGAACTCTGACATTCGGAGATGGGCACGGGAATGTCTCCAATGCCAATGTTCCAAAGTACACCGACAAACTATTACAACTCAGAAGACGTTTGATTTACCGGACAAGAGATTTCAGCATGTCCATATAGATATTGTGGGACCACTGCCAACATCAAGAGGATATATACATATCCTGACAGCCGTTGATAGATTTACTCATTGGGCTATTGCATGCCCCTTAAACGACATATCTGCTGAAAATGTTGCTTTGGTTTTTCTCAACCGCTGGGTGTCAAACTACGGTGTACCAACTACTATTACAGCAGACCGAGGCCCTCAATTCTAACTGACACTGTTTCGCGAATTAACGAGACCCCTCGAAGTGAATCATATCTCCACAACAGCCTATCATCCGGTAGCGAATGGTGTAGTGAAAAGATTCCATAGACAACTGAAAAGCTCCCTGATGGCGCAGAATGATACATCTAAATGGAGTAAATACTTATGTTTGATTTTACTTGGTATCCGATCTACTATCAAAGAAGATTTAGGATGTACATTGGCTCAGCTTGTTTATGGCACCAACCTAACCTTGCCTGGACAGCTAATCCCCTCAGCCGATTTGACGGACGTGAATATTGCTGACTTCACCAACCGATTAACTAGAAAAATGCTTCAACTTCAACCAATAGCACTCCGACAGTCTCCCTGACGAGATCAGATCAACAAACATCTGCAAACTTGCAAATTCGTCTTCATTCGAGTCGACGCCATCAGAAAAGAATTGCAACCCCCACACGAAGGTCCCTTCCAAGTTGTTAAGCGATCAGGCAAACACTTCACAGTGAACAAGAATGGAAAACGACAGACTATTTTCATTGATCGAATCAAACCCGCCTACACAAACA